GTAATTTTTCAATATACTTTTATCTGTTATGATCATGTGCAAAACTACCATGTTGATTCTTAATTGAATTAAACTGGGCAGTTTTGAACCGATATAAACTTATTCCTCACTGTCATAATTGATAAATTGGATTAATTGGGAAATGTGCGTTTCTTTTGAATGTACAAAACATCTCAAAGATTATTCTGCTTTTAATATGATAACTCTTGTGTTTTCATTTATGATTTTGAGTGTCATATAACATGCTAGGCTGATCACTCTGTATTTTCACTCTGTATTTGGAAGTTCCTTTGACTAAATGAGGATAACAAACTGCTACTTTGGCTTGCTATCCAAGTCTTTTGCATGTCTTCTGCTTCAATCTTTGTACAGTATTATGTTGCAATAAACTAATAATGATCAAAGAGAAATTACTAATTGATTTGTTGTGTTTCTATTTCAATGTTTTACTCTGTGGTGTGTTTTTTTCTTCTAAATTTTTTTTTTTTTTTTTAAAAGAAAGCCAGCATCCCTTGGTGATTTCAGACTGGCTTCTTATCAGATTCTTTTGTGTAGATCTTATGAATCCATGGAGAACGGAAATTTGAAGAAGAAAAAAAATCATCTTAATAAAAATTGATTGCATGTTTTAGAACTGATAGACAGATGCTAGAGATTAATTTATGACCTTTAATTAATATAGGTACAAATGATGTTGTACATGTTTTGGGGGTTAAATAGAAGAAAAATGGAGGTAGACAGGGTTAGAGAGGAATGATTGTGTAATGAGAGAGGGAGGGGTGAGGAGAAAAATGAGACATTAAAAGAAAAAGAGAGAAGATAGAATATGGGTACAACAATAAAAAAGGATGTAGAGAGAGGGAGGGGTGGGGGGGGGGGGGGTGAGGAGAGAAATGAGAAATTAAAAGGAGGGAGAGGCATGATATAATATGGGGGACAATGAAAAGAATGTGTAATCAAGCCCTATACTCATCCATTCAGGGCAAGAGTCATTAACTCACATCATTTAAACACATTCTTTCTGGTTCTCAACAGTTGATATGATATTTGGAGATGAAATGGTAGAATTGGACATGTTTCTCTTCTCACTAGTCCATAATTTAGCCGATTACTATTTTAAGAGCAATTCCCTTTGATCTTCCTCCTACCTGCTGCTTGTCCAAGATGTGGTCATCTCAAATTCATATGCCCCCTTGCAAAACAAGTTATGGAATTTGTTGATCAGCTAGGCCATCTTCGGCTAGCAGCAGGTAGGGGAGAGATCACGAAATAGGATAAAGCCAACAAGATTCTGGACTATTTCTCCACATGCATACGTCACCATTACTATGAATTCAACAAATTAGTAGATTGGGCATTCTTTGCCATTATAACCCGTATCAGACATCTGAGCTGGTCATTTACAAAACCGTATTGCCCTAGTTTTTATAAGCAGAGGGAACGGAAGGGTATATTCTTTGTATTTTCCTTGGTCTCTCTGCCCGTATAGACTTTGCATGTAGAGATGAGTGAAAATATAGTCTCATATTGACAGCGCTGTATTTTGTCAATTTCATTGCGCATCTATTAAACCTGCGCACTTTGCGTGCACTCTGTTGTGACGTAATAATCACACTGTTTGCATTGTATCGAAAATTTTGTCAAGCGCTGCTGGTTGACAAAGTTTGTTCAGTTCTTTGAGATTGTCATGGTTGATTTATGTATTTGCTCTAGATGTCTGATTTGGATAACAATAAAAATATTGACTGGCTTAACTTTCGGTAGATACCACATATATTGCCCTCACAAGACCCATATTGCCCTCGTTTTTTACTTGGGGCAATATGAGTCTAGCTTGGGCAATATATGTGGTATCTCCCTCAAGGCCAGTCAATATTATATAAATATTCTACTAAATATTCTACATAAAAATATAAATTCTTATGATTTGATGACACCTGACAATATACCCGACGCATTCCCATATACCTACCAACAAAATAAGCTTTGGGAAAACTGTCATCTTTTAAAATTCTTTCAAAATAAAATGTTATCTAGATCATATTATCTCATGACTTTAAAGGTATTACAAAGTTTTGGGAAATTTTGAAAAATGGGGTGATAGTGATTCCTTACAATTGTGATATATTTGGATGCCCCTGTGGATGTATTAAAAACACCAGAAATTTTAGCCCCTAAAACACTTCTGCTTTCGAGAAAAATTGAATACAAAGATTTACCGGTGCTCCCAGTAAATTTTGATAAATTTCAAATAGCTCCTACGGCCGTACAATGGTAGCTGCGACCATGAAAATCTCAGAGTATGTAGTTGTGGTATATAATTTCTGAACGAGAATATCTAATTGGTTATTTTAGTCAAATAACATTGTTTACTAACTTAATTAATATCTTGACCTTGAGAGGGAGCTATTCAACATAAAGTGTTTATTATTTACAATTTCATAACTTTAGAGTCGATTTCGACCCGACAACGATCACTGAATATTGTAGGATCGTATATGCTTTCAATATGTTCATTTGAACCAAATTCATGACCCCATACCGAAACTTTGTATTACCTTTCAGCAAGATAAAAATAAACAAATACCAAAAAAATGAGAAACATATTTGCTAATAAAATAATTTGGAAGAATTCATGATTTAATGTAAAGACTAGAACTTCATAAAGAGGCATGAATATCCATACAAACAACATTCTTACATTCAATATTCAATACATATTGGATATCAGGTAAGTAATATTTCACAACACTTTTTCTTCTTCCACCGAATTCAATGGCATATGTTCCCTATGGGTTGGTGTATGGATAGTGTACAGTTATAGATACAGTGAAATCATTACATGAAGACCTATCAAGGCAGACACACGATATGGTCTATACAAGCAGGTGGTTTTTCTGTACATCAACCTCAAATTCTTTTTTTTTCTTCAGATTTTAATGAGAACACTTATTCAGGTAAATTTCTATACAGGTTGCCTCAAAATCAGATTTCGCTTTACTACAATGTAATGGATATGGATGTGGTTAATATGCAAGTCGATAAGGTGTCCACGAGTAAAATGATTAAACTCACAGTAGATTTGTTAAAAACTTATTATTTACTTATAAGAGGGAGTAGACAACCAGAAGTACTTCAAGGAGTATAGAAAATAGCCGACACCAAAAAAATATAAGGTTGATGTTTCATCATTCGTAGGAATCCATATAGATCAACATTTGACTTTGAAATCTCATATTGAAAGAGCAAATATGTGTATTAGAATAAAGTTTGGTTTTTTATATAGATTAAGACCGTTTATGTTTTATTGTCATTGTATAAAACATTAACTCAACCACATATTAATATGGAATTGAGGTTTTGGGAAGCAATTATTAAATTAATATGAAATATTTATTATTAAACCAAAAGATGGCACTCAGAGCTATAACATTTAGTCCTTTTAGGACTCATTCACACCCCTGGAGTTAAAATTATTGAATATGTATCAACTACATAAACTATCTACATGTATTTGTGTTTTCATGCATCAACTATTGAAAAATAGATTGCCACAGTCCCTTGTTCAGTACTGCTCTTTCGTAAAGCACAGATACGAGACAAGACAAAGAGAAAATAAAAAGCTGAGTGTACCTTAATTAAGGACAACGCAAAGTACATTTGTGTCATACATGCAGAGGCGTATATGCTTCTGGAATGATTTACCTAATCTGTCAGGGAAAAAGCTTTAGTTTCTTGTTTTTGTAGTACAGCACAAATGTTAATAGAATAACTAATAATAAACTATGCATTTCACCAAGGTTCTTGCCTTTCATTAGAAAATATATTCTATATTTTTTTGACAGTGTATGATACACGGTTGTATTGTTTTATTAAGAATGCCTATTTATACAAGTTTAGGCTTTGCATTTGAACACAAAAACATATTATCTTAGATACATAGAATAGTATGTAGCTTTAGTATATACCTATATTCAATAATTATCCATAAACATATATATATTTACATTTTATTTGTTAAAGGTAATAAAAAGTTTTGGGAAATTTTGAAAATTGGGTGGATAGTGATTCTTAACAATTTTGATATATTTGGACGCCCCTGTGGATGTATTATGAGCACTGGAAAATTTAACCCATAAAACACTTCTACTTTTGAGAAACATTGAATATAAAAATTTACCGGTGCTCCCGGTAAATTTTGATAAATTCCAAATAGCGCCTACGGCCGTACAATGGTAGCTGCGACCATTGAAATCTCAGAATATGTAGCTGTGATATATAATTTCCAAACAGGAATAGCTAATCGGTCAAGTTTAGTCAAGAAACATTGTTTTATAGCTTAATTAATATCTTGACCTTGAGAAGGAGCTATACAACATAAAGAGTTTATTATTTACAATTTCATAACTTTAGACTCGATTTCAACCGCGACAACGATCACTGAATATTGTAGGATCGCATATGCTTCCAATATGTTCATTTGAACCAAATTCATGACCATATACCAAAACTTTGTATTACCTTTAAGATACTGTACTTAAAAGGTACCAGACATGATAAGCATTTTATGCTATTTTCTCGTCCCGTTTATCTTTGTTAAACATGCATTTATTATTGTTATTATTGTTTTTATTGTTAGATTTAATAATGTATTGGTTGGATAATAAAACCTCAACTCAACTCAACTCAGATACACGTACGTGTATATCTGGATTCAAAAGTGTATAGTCTTCAGTACAATTTACCATTCTAACTATACTGTGAAGATGTGATGGTCTTGAGGAAACATCAGTGGACTGTGGAACACATAGTTTGGGGTTCCAGTCCTGCCGTGGCAGTAATGTCCTTTGGCAAGACATTATTGTACATTTGCCACACTCCACCCAGGTGAGGAATAGGGTACCTGGCAGGAAGTAATATCTTGAAATGCTAAAGCGCCGTAATGGCAGCCACGCTAAAGCTGGGTAATAATTGTGGAGCACCAGGGGGGTGTTTGACAAAGACTAAGATCTACTTTAAGTTGGGCTTAAATATGGCAGGCCATTGATGCCACTGGTTGCTGTCACCATTGGTCTCTCAGTTATGATCTTTAGATATTATTTTTGCCCATGATTTGTACCTCCCTTCAGAAACAAATGCCGGGAATGGTTAGAGGAACTATAGTGGCATGAAAGGCCTGCCATAGTTAAGTTCAACTTAAAGTCGATTTTAGTCTTTGGGAAACACTCCCCAGGAGTGTTAAGTCTGTCAGACATGGGCACTATGCAAAAACCCACTATTATCAATATTATTACAATTTGTAGTGTGTTTCCACAATAAAGATTCAAATAAAACCAAAGCTTTACTCTCAGATGGCAACAGGCCTTTCTTGAAAAAGTCTGAAATAAGTCTTCCAGGTTTAAAACATCAAAGAATTCTCAAAAGAAAAATATGGATTTTCTAATGACTGTAACCCATTAGCAACTAAACCGCCCAAAACCACCCCTCTTTTTACTCACTAAACTGCCCGAAACCGCCCTTCCGTTTTCAATGGCTATAGTATTTGTTCTAGGGTCTTCTGTGATATTGTTATACGTGCATAATCCTTATGATGTCTACTTTAGGATTCTGCATAGAAAAATAGCGCATGTTTCATATTGTTTTTACAAAATCTCTAGTTGCTAAGGGGTTAACATCTACTGAACTGTATTCCTTAAATTGACAACATGATGATGTCATATGGGGTAACTCGACTAGCACTTAATTGTGCTAACTTTTGGTGTTCTTTTAGCAACAACTTGAACTTTTGTATAAATGTGTTTTATGTAGGCATTAATTAAGCTTTTGCAGTAATTCATTGTTTTGTACATTATGTACAGTTTGTATTTTATTGTTTTGCCTTTCATTGTTTGTTTTATGATGTACATACATTTTGTTGTTTCTAAAAAACTTCAAACTTCAAGTAATATTATCAAAGGATGATTTTCCAAACGTCATAGAGCTCTCATCTTAAATCTTCAGTCTGAGAAATTATTGGTTTATCAAAAAGTAATGCAACAGAGCAGGGTTATATACCGTAGCTCTTCAATACCTTTTTGAGAATGTCAACATATATATATACATGTACATACATATACCTCAATGTTACCTGATTTGAAGTAGGGTTATGACTTTGAATTCATGCAGTTATGTGACAATGTTATCTTTATTATAGGTACGCAGTAATGTATAGTTCATTTTCATCATATATATCTGAGTCTTCTAATTACCCTACTACACCAAATATATTTTGTATTATCATTACATAAAGTAGATTCATATAATTCATCATTATACATACATAAATTTTATGTTCTTCTGACTCTCAGCAGATAATATACACATCATTTTTATCTTTACCAGTAAATGCTACAACAAAAATAGCATTTGAGCTATAGTCAAATCTAAGTCAAGGATCATCCAGATCAAAGGTCTCCTGGGCCAAGGGTCACTCTGCTTCATGTGCCTCCTGAACAGCAAACACGAATTTCAGATCTACCTAAGCTTCATCTTCTTACTCTTGGATCTGGAGGGATACAATGAAATAAAGGAGCAGTCAAAGTCAGTAAAATAGGGGGAAAAAGATAGAAATAGTCTGTAAAGAGCCAGAAAGGAGTTACTACAATGATTAAATGGCTCTTAGTAGATGACATGATAACAACTGGTTTGTTGAACAAACATTATTTTGTATTTCTATTTAATTTTTTCTTTTGGGTTGGAGGTCAATTTGAAGATACCGTAGGTTTAGGAGTCAGTTTGAAATCAATGTAGATTGTAGTTTTAAAGACACCATATTACGCTGACAGAAAAAGAAGAAAGTCAGATCAGTTTTTGTGAGAAGAATGATATAAATTGTGGCGCCAGATCATTGCCTAGGAATTTAGTTTTATTTCATTGACATTGAACATCAAGTAATTGCGTTTATGTGTCATGGAATTATTTAAGATACATAACTGTCAGAGCTCAAGCATATATGGAATGAGCTAATATTAAAATAGATATTCATTGATTTTAAAAACTAACTTTATTTTCATTATTGCATAGTTGAAACTTTGATTCGACAAGGTTATCAAAATTCAATGCTTGGAAACATTTGAAGTAATGATTATTATAAATTACAAAACGCTTAAATACAGCCCCGGCATAGCACCTGAAGAGCTCTCCGAACGCTGCTGAGATGTGTGAGATCACAGTATGGACATGACTTGCCCAAGCAGACGATGTCCCATGACATCTCACACATTTTTAGTGCCAGTGTTTTCATCTTCTCTTGAGTTCTTTCTCTTACTTCACTACCGTCAGGCTAATTGTATAATCTATTGCCTCACTCTAAACCCCGCGCATGATTTTATTTTGATGACAAATGCAGCGATACAAAAATAAAGGAATCTGTCACTTGTAAACAAAATAAGACGCCATTGTATATTCAGCTGCACACACCGGGGTATGTTTGGTGTTTCAAGAGGGAACAAATGCCGTCCTTATATCATTCCGGGGGTTTTTCAATTTGAAAGTCTGATTTCTTTGATTGTTAATTAACCCCTATCCTGTGTATTTACAAGCAAAAGATTTTAGTTATCAGAGTCGGGTCATATCCCCTTTTGAATGGTTTGACATGCCTTTACATTTATATACACTAATCTCAATATAATTTGACAAATAATAGCTTTGCAATTATGTTCATTCTCTATGGGATGTCGTCTGCTTGGGCATTGTTGGTCCATATAGTGACGTCATTAAAACACCGTTATTTTTCCGGCGAATCTCTCGTATATCCCAGCTGCTATGGAGGTGGTTGTATTTGTATTTTTATAAATCACCCGATATGTAGTTGACCTAAAACTTGGACGATGGCCATCTGTTAGCTTACCAGTCTCTAGTGATACATTGGTTGACATGTATGTGATCTTCTTTGAATTTCACCTTTAAGATGGACATTTTCATTTAGTACATGTGCAGGAGTTTGAGTGTATTGCATACGTGTACCGCTATATGTATTTGGTTTGCCCGTAGGTGGCATTGTTCAAATTATATATGTGGTGCATAATTTGAAAGGGATATTTGGAAAGCTCCAGAGATGTTATTAAATATCTATTTTGAGTTTTAATACATTGAAAGAAAACCAGTTTATGCATTTAAAACAATTCAGAGTTTGATAGATCATTCAAATTAGATTTGATCTTTGGAGATTATATTGTAGATAGAGAGTTTAGTTTAATTCAGTTGAAACACAGGCTTTGATCTGAAAGGAAATGGAGTTGTTATCTTAAATGGATAATTCATAGTGTGAGAAAAGGAAGAAAAACTCTTATACAGTACTTGTATTAGAGAGTTTTATTCATTTATTGATAGCATAAAACAGACATATAATTATGAGTCTTTTGATTCATTATATATTTTCTACAGATTTGAATACAATTAAGTTGTCCTGTTTTAATTGGCAGTCTAGCACTCATAGTTCCCTTATTGATCCGACAACAAAGTGGGCGATTGAAATCCACTCAAATCATTCAATATACATGTATGTATGTATTTCAAAATAATAGCAAATTCATGCAGTTACATAAGGCTTCACAATAAGCTCCACCATATGTATTTGCATGACTCAAACAATAATAGATCACTTGAAAATATAGTATTCTATAAATAAAACATAATTAAATCACTGCTTGATGTCATAATTCAACCAAGGGCCTTAAAGGTACTCTGTTCCATTTGCAGGCCCAAAAAATGAAAATGTTAAATTCCAACGGCATTTGAAAGATAATACTAATTTAGAACTTCGCAAAAAAAAGATGGCTTGAAGATGTCTTTAAGTGGGAAAACAACGGCTATTAGTTGTCAAATCGACTTAGGAGCTATAGAGCCAGTAAGTAATAGTTTGATTTTCAGACCATTGTATCGATTGGTACGCAAATGGTGCCCAAAGATTTAATCAGTTTAAATTTGGCCATTATAAGAAGTGGGTTATTGATGTAGACAAATGCTCATGTACCCTTGACAGCTCATTTTATGTAATGTTTGTTATTACCAAAGAAGAAAAAATGCCAGTCAGTCACTCAATAGTCGCTGACAGTGAAGTCTAGCAAGTAAACGGGTTTCCTTGCATAATTTGAATATTAGGACACTGCTAACGTTAACATTTCACAGATTTCAAAGTTCTACAGAATTTGATGTTGGCTGTTTTAGGCGGCACATTAGACAGCTAGATGAAATAGTCCTTTACAAAAGTTTCATGACATTTGTTATATATTCTAATACAATGCAGCTACTGTACAATACACCTACCCTCTGAGTACATCATTCGCAAGCTGTCGCTTCTCTGTCTGTCTCTGTAATACTTTTTCCTCAATTGTATTGGAGCAGACAAACTTGTGAACACTCCTCGTCTGCCCTGGCCTGTAGATCCAATCACAGGCTTGGTCTTCTACAACTGGATTCCTACACAAACAAACAACAAAACAAAATTTAAAAAACTCAGATCATTTTAAGAACTGGTCATGCCATTTCATTTAAAAAAAATTAACAGAAGTGATTCTATTAATGTAGTTATGTTGAGCCCTTGAAAATGACCCCCCCCCCCCTCTCCATTTTTGTTGTTGATTTGAACACCCCTCACAACAAGTGGAACAACGCAGCCCCAAATGAGAGATAAAAAATTGGTAGCTGCTAGCTGGCCTGCCATTACATTGCTTTTTGCTGATGATACATACAACAGTCTACTGACTTCATTCTCATTTCGTCTATTTTTAGGTAACAAATTCAACTTCTTACCATATATATTCATTTTATTACAAATTATAATATTGTTTTACCTGTCCCAAGATATTGATTGGGATAATTTTAATTCCAATAGGGCTTTTTACATAACAGTGAATGCATGGCACTCTCACTGGGTGTTTAAGGTGGAAGTGTACGTTGAAGCAAAGGATTGACTCTCGCCTCCTGGTTGCTTAATGAGCTGTAATCTATGTAAGAAGGAGGAAGGGAGTAGAAGCCCAAATTGAAGAAACTTCATCTGGGATAATTATGTGGTTTTAATACAGATATTTCATACAGAAAATATATTCTCAAACAATAATTATTGCTTTTGTATAAAGAGTTGACATGGAATAATACAAACAGTATCCAATTGAAAATTTAAAAAAAATGAAAATGAAAAATGAAGATATCGAAAGGCACTGGATATAGGTATGCATGGATACATGGGACTACACAAAACTTATGGCAAGAATTTGGACCCCAAAAGTCACTATTCCTGGTCATTATTGTACATGTGATATAAAAGCTTTGCAATTGATTCTTTGTTTCGATACATTATTGACCGCTGTGTATTCTATACTAACGGATATCCTTTCTTTCATTTTAATTTTTAAAACTCTACCCATTTAATGAAAAGTCAGTAAAGCATTCTCTTACCAGTGCATATCGAGGAAGACGATGTGATTATCCCTGATGAGCTTCAGGCCGCGCCCACGGGCCTTCATCGACAACAGCATGATCTCGCGACCCCCGGGGTTGTTGAATTTCCTCATCGCCTTAAATCGTTTCTTTGGAGGGATATCACCTCGGATACTCCAGTACTTGAACTTTGCCTTCTTAAGGTGGCTAGCTACCACATCCAGCATTTTAGTCGACTTGGAGACAAGGACGGTCTTGATGGGGCGGTCTGCAGGACCTGCGGCACGAATCTTCTTCAGTCCATAAATCAAAAACTTGATCTATACAAAGAGAGGCACAGATATGGTTATATAACTAATAACAAAGGCACACATTCATTGCTGGTCCTGGCATTAACAATCAAAATTATAATGTATCATCAAACCTAAATATTCATGTTCTGTTTTGCACTCATCCCCCCCCCAAAAAAAAAGAAGCTTTGGTGAGATTTCTAGAAGATTTCTTACAAGCTGCTGCAAGTGTTCATCCATTTTTGGGAGTAATAAGCAAAATAATCTATGGTTCTGCAGTGACACATGTCACAGGTTAAAAATACAGTCAGTCTGTACAATTTTGGACACATTTAGCTGTAAGCCTCTTTACAGCTTATTGAAAAGCCTAAATGTGCTTTCCTTACAATCAAATATCATTAATATTTACATGAAATACAGATTTCGAACCCTGGTCCTTGAGAAGCTAGGATCATGCATTTTTATCTATGGCTTGCCCTGACCCGACCTGAGCCCTAGTCATCCTCACCCTGACCTATGTTTGACCTTATTATGATCATAATTATTCTAAACTAACCTTGAATTGAGCATAAGTATTGTTAACTGAATTTTGTACTTGATAAGCTGGGTTCGTACAAGGTCGTCCTAGGCTTGACCTGACCTGACCCAATCTGACCCCTAGTCATCCTCACCTTGACCTATGTTTGACCTTATTATGATCATAATTATTCTAAACTAACCTAAAATTGGGCATACCGTATTGTTTACTGACCTTTGTACTTGAGAAGCTGTGTTCATACAGGGTCGTCTTAGGCTTGACCTGACCTGACCCAACCTGACCCCTAGTCATCCTCACCATGATCTATGTTTGACCTTATTATGATCATAATTATTCTAAACTAACCTAAAATTGAGCATTAATATTTTTAACTGACCTTTGCACTTAAGAAGCTGTGTTGATACAAGTTCGTCTTAGGCTTGACCTGACCTGACCCCGGGCCAAGTTTGATACCGTCCGTCTCACACGACTCTTGGTCTGGGAGCTACAAAGGAAATGTGATGGAGTACAAATCGGATTACATAGTCACTCTTTGAATATAAAGTGAAATTAAACAGCATTCATTTCGTTTCACAAGAATCCCTTGTGGTTTAAATGTGTCCAAATTTATTCTTATACATGTACATTGGAAGAAAAGAAAAAAAAAGTTGAGTTCTGCACAAAATGATTATCACTTAAATTACCTTTGTTAAATACAATGTGCCTTCTCTTATATGTATCAGAATATATCATAATAATAACAATATTGGATATCTATATAGCGCACATATCCACCATGCATGGTGCTCAAGGCGCTCCAACTATTAACCCGGCTTTATTAACATACTTACATGTTACCTTGGTGTCAAACGTGAATGTCTACAATTACATTTCATGGATCAAAATATGCTTCATTCAGTGTTTCATTAAATTAAATTGATCAAATGGGCAGCAATAATAACCCAACAGTACCCTAGACTCCTAATATTAAAACTGCAACACACATACTAAATCCACTTAATACCTCTTTGAGCAAACTAAGATGACCACAGCATTGTCCCAAGCGTAGCTGGTTGACCAGGTTGTAAGGTGTGCGTCTGGGATTGGTAAGGTCGACATAGGGAAGAATTAAAATGAAATTCCAGAGAATGAGAGAAGAAGAAATGACAGAACGATTTACTTGGAAAATCAGCTACAGATATCACAACAAAGAATGACATGCACTACCACTGAAAATAAAGCTCAATAAATGCTCGGACTAAAAGGGTGCTAAATGCTGGATTGTTTTAAAATCATAATAATAAGCATTATTATAAATATCTCTGGGCCCATGTTCATAGAAAATTACTAAACCAGTTACCAACTATTTACATACTTAGGCTGTAGTATATAGTTAGTGGACAAAAAGGCAGAGTAATTAGGTTTTATGAATATGAGCCCTGTTGTCTATCTAACATTCATTTAATCAAGAAAAGATGGATCTCAAATTCTAGATATAAAGATTCCAAAGGGAAAATGAAACAAATTGTATACTATTACTCCTATGATATGATTTAGTAGGATCCACAAGTAACGGTATGTTCACAGTAATCATATTCCTAACTTCAACCTTGGAGCAAATTACCACTTTACCTAACCTATGCCTAAAACCTTATAAAAACCCAAGCCATAAATGATGGTTAAAATGCATGTAGAAATGAAAGAAAAATACATAACAGAGAAAAATATATACGTGGCCCACACAATAACATAATTTTGTGCACAAACTTACTACAAAATATACGGGCAGAGTGCTAATATTATGATGAGAGTAACTATGAAGAAAACTAGATGGACCGATCTTCGACTCCGCCATAGAGCAATTTTACAAACCAAACCAGAGGCAATTTTCAAAATTCAAGTTTGATTGTAATTAAATCCATTAACAGGTTTTCAGAATATCGTGATTATACAAGCTATATTTAATGTTTAATACCATGCCGTACAGCTTATTGAGGTATTTGTTTTTAAAAAGCATGGTAGAGAAGTACAAGCTGAAGTTGATCGAGATAAGGAATACCGTAATAATTTGACCCATCTGTCACAAAAGAGTTGTCTTTTACTGTGGTTATTACCTGTATTGTTTGACGAGCTGATCATAGATATTTCTCTCTTCACTCGACAGACATATTGAGTGTATCTCCTTCTTCATCTTCTTCTTCTTCTTCTTCTTCTTCTTCGGCAGAGAAGCCTACATAACAAAACAAGGAAGTTATATTATACTAAGTAGCAAGGGGTCAATCCGAGCTTTAGCATGGGGGGGGGGGGGGGGGGGGGGAGCGGGACACAATTACATGTCACCGTTACTACTTTCAAAGTATACCACGTTATCAGTGGCGGATTCAGGGGGGTGGGTGTTATATTGCTACACACACACACACACACTCTCCTCTCTCTCTCTAAAATAAAAGCTCGTTGTTAATTTGCTTCATCACATGATCTGTTACATAATACTTTGCCGCACGTAACATAAGTACTGTAGGGGATTATCATAGTACATCATTATGCTTCAGGTTTTATCTAATCAACATAAAAGTATATACACTGTCGCTTATATAGTTGGAATATTTATATTTTACCCCAATTTTTTTTATGAAGTTATTTTGACAATGATTTATTCCTATTAGATCTAGATAATAGTACCAATATACATTCTCAGTTTTTATTGAATAATAATTTGCCAGTGTTTGTTTTGCGTGACTGCTAAAGCATGTGTATGCTACTATGCATATCAACTAGAGGACCTATGCCCGTAAGTCATAAATGACAGTAATGAGGATTAATGCCCCACAAAAGGGCACTAATATGGCACATCGACACGGTTTTGATCCTGGGGCCTCACAGTTACGAGGCAATATTGCTTGGCCACTGAACCATGACTGTAGGGTAGGGGGCAGTTCCCCAAAATAAAAAAAAAACAAAGAAAATGCAATAAATTTCAATAATTGATTGCATTTTACCCCGGCCCCCAACATAAAAAAATCCTCTGTACGACCATGCATTATGGCTCAAGGCATGGGCACCCAGAATTTGTTTTTCTGTTGGGCTGTGCCCTTTTGTGGGGCATTAATCCTCATTACTGCCATTTATGACTTAAGGGCGTAGGTCCCCTAGTTGATAAGCATAGGAGCATACACATGCTTTAGCAGTCACGCAAAACAAACACTGGCATATTATTATTTAATAAAATCTGAGAATGTATACTATTATCTAGATCTATTAGGAATAAATCATTGTCAAAATAATTCCATAAATTGGGGTGAAACAAAACAAGGGAAACGCTCTCGGCTGTCTCGCCTGCATTACAAAATTTGATATGATGAAAAGATTGATGTTGGAACATTATTTATAGGCAGGGTGGTCCTTAGCAGGCCCCCCAAAATGAAATCCTCTGAATATATTCAGCATTTTGAAGTGAATATTGACTAAGAATCATCAGAAGAATTATTTACTAGTAATTGTACCACGATCGATAACTTGAATGAAATATGACCTAATTCTCATATTTAGTTGTTTTGTTTGTTTGTTTGTTTGTTTTATTTCCACTTTTTCATATCAATACAAAGAAACATACAAATAAATATAATGAATAACATGTAAGTTTGACAAAATTTGTTTCTAGTTAAAATAGAAGTTTCATACAAAAGGAAAAAGCAGGAGACCACATGTCGTAAGCGTAAATGCTTGAACATGACCGTGGCCTCTGCCGAGTTAACAAAAATAAAAGAACAACCCATGCAACTGCATTGTATTCAATGTTAAATAAGATATAAGTGAAGTGATTAAAAGTGAGCATGGCTGAATTAATTTTGAGTGAAAATAACAAAACAAATTTAGTAAAATATTTCGTGTTGAGAAGTGCATTTGTGCAAGGTGCAAAAATTTAGCTTGGTGGAACAAAAAGAGACTAATACCGTGATATTATTGTGTGTTAGTTTTAGTTACGGGTGATAATATTAAATGTATGCAGGGTCCATTCCTGTTGACAAACAAAGACAGAAGAATTCAAGACATAACATAATCCAAGTCTACTGACCTAAAATGACCTTTGACCCTTGAATTTGTGTCATATGATTTGTGATACTTGATAACCCTTGGGTACAAGTTTCATGGAATTTGAACAATCAATTTTGAAAATATGCTAAAAAATTCAAATCTTGATGTTGATGCCACAACAAGGTCTATGGGCACGTTTATGCTTCACTTTTGAAGGTAGAATGAGCGATTTGTAACGCTCATCGTAAACGCTCATCGTAATCGCAGTTCCACAGTGTACTGTTCATGCTCACTTCTCTGGCTCCTACAGGCAATTCTCCATGTGTGGCCTTAATTGGTATTCTAGCTGGATTTGCAAACCTTCACTGTGCATGCTACGTAGACCCACTAGAGGTCAGTGCGTTGACCCCATTTAAACGCGTTTAAAAATTGTAAACGCATCTTTTTGTGAGTTTACGATCGGCGATCATGATCGCCGTTTTTTCGGTGATTCTACAAAAGTGAGCATGGACGCAACGGTGTTTTAAACTAAACGCGTAACAGATGCCTGATTCTGGCCAGAAAAAGTGAAGCATAAACACGCCCTAAGTATGTTGACCTAAAATGACCTTTGACCTTGACTTTGTGACCTGAAATTCTACTCACAAGATTAGGGATACTTGATAACCCTATAGTCCAAGTTTCATTGACTAAGAACTTATACTTTCAAAATTATATCAAAAATTCAAAAACTTAACCTAAGGTTAAGTTTTTGATGTTGACGCTGCCGCCGCCGTCGCCGCTGCGGCCGCCACCGCTGCCACCGCCGCCACCGCCGCCACCGCCGCCACCGCCGCCACCGGAAAAGCGGCGCCTATGTCTCGCTTTTTTGCTACGCAGGCGAGACTAAAATTCTAACTATATGAGCGACAGTGTACGATGACAAGAATAATGCCAAAGATCGCCATACATGTACATCTTCCTGCATCATGACATACAGTGTGTCATAAAAACAAAAGACATAATCACAGTCTGTAATTGAAATGTATATGTGCCATAGTTTAATTAATAGGTTTTCATTAATCCTTTCAGGATAGGATGTATTTTATATAGGTATTAAAGAATGTTGTCCAAAATTTGAAATAATTGCCAATTTTGATTAAAAAACAATGAATTTGAATCTCTCAATGACTTTTCAAATTTAAGGATTTAAAGATGAAGTTGAGTTCTGGTCATGCGATTGCATTGCATGAAAGAAACGGTGTGGAATCGACCAGAAATGGTTGATCATCTATCATATAAGAATTTGTGTGTATTGCAAGATTCTGGAATCATCAAAATGATAAGAAATTTGGCCAAGTCTTGGGAAAGTTACAAACACTGTACACAGAAAGATGTATATGGGACTACACGAACACGTGGCGTAAAAATCCTACCCCCGAGTTTTACGATGTTACATGACATATTTAGAATATAAAGGCATTTGAAGAGCCATGCTTTTCAGGGAACATGTCTTATCTGATGTTCTGATGCATCTGATGATCTGATGCAGGACTCTGAATCAAAACTTGAGGAGCCAAAATGCGAAAGGGTTAATGGCCAGGGGGGTGTTTCACAAAGATCCTAAGTAGAACTTAAAAATTATGGGCAGCCATTGGAGCCTTAAAATGAAATATACTCAAAAGCAGAAATTCAAGTATTTTAGACATTTTATAAATTCCACAACAAGAATATGAAATCTCCTTAATGATAGAAAATATGAATGATTTGAATAAACATTTTATGCCTTTCAAAAATATTTTTACATAATATTTTCAAAGATGCTAATGGCTTTCCATAATTTTTAAGTCCAACTTAGAGTTAAGTTCTACTTAGGATCTTTGTGAAACAACCCCCAGGGTCCATAATATTTCTAGGAGCCATTTCTAGGATTCTGTCAAAACACCGGACTCATGCTACATCTGTTCATAAAATAATGAAACGATGACAAATCATGGATGATTGATATTGTGTTAGCCTTACTACTCACGATTGGATTCCCACTGCTAGACTTGGTTCTCTGTAAGACTAAACTCTTGACCAGGATTCGAAGTGTCGCTAATTTGGCTGGAATACAAGAAAAAAATTGTCATGTATCAAAATTGCAATACAAGAATTAAAAATAAAAAAACACCTATAAATGGTTACAAGGTCCCTTTTGAGCATATGGAAATAATTTCAGTTACCGTATTTCATTTTCCTCTTTTCAATCATTTTTATTCAGTTCCATTTAATTTCCTAATTGTCCTTATATACATGTACCCCAAAAAACTTGAGATTCATCTAATTTATTGCCAATTTATAAGTAAACTCTATGCTTACAGTTACATACAATGGCATTTGAATTAGTTTGGATATAAAATGAATTAATAAAAACAGTAAAAGTTTATATTTCTCATTCCTTATCATGACATCATTACATGCAAAATTCGTCCAATGTAAGATGAAATAAGAACAGATGAGTCTTTCTCACATGTGTCTGAACTCTGTACTTACTCGATCCTGCATTCTCTACTTGTCTCTTCCACACCTGATATTCATCAAATGGTGTACATCTCAAGAATCTAATCAATAGAAACAAATGTAGCTTTTATAAAGAGGTCCTGATGCCATGGCATATAGCTACACATAAAGAAATGCTGTGAAACCACATAACTTTGAACTGGAAGTAGAGCTAGGAATAAAGGAAACAATATCAATGATATTCTTTGCAATTTGAAACATCTTTTTGATTTCATTATAAAGAGATGATAACATATAACACATTTTGGACATACACATGTATGCGCCCCAGGTCAATAATCTTGGATCTGTCACTGCTATCAGAGCCCCGTTTCATAAAAATTGTTATTAATGACAATTAAGTTATAATAACTGTTATAAGCTACTGAAATCATGGCATATGATTGGCTGAGAGCAGATTTGTCATATAAATTTAGCATTTGTTAATACGGATAACAAGTTTTATGAAAAGAGAGCTCTGTTCAGAGCCAGAAGAGCGTCAACAAGCTAAAAATAAACTTGAGTTCTGCATGGTAAATATAAATATAGAAGATGAATTCTCACAGAATCCAATGAAACTTACACTGAATGTTTAAGATTACACATAAATGACATGTGCCAATTTTGGTATAGTGTAATGTGGCTGAGTAATGAGCATAGAAAGATAAGCAAATCCGGGTAAGTATAGGCCCAACACCATGTGCTTAACACAGGTCACTATGTGCAAATGGGAGTTGTGGTTTTATCACAAATGATGCCCAGAAAGTGTTTGTGCGTTTGTTTTTATTTGACTGGTTCAAACAACCTATCTTACTGCAGGATAAACAATCCAGAATAAATCATAGCAATTTTCTCTCAAAACACGATTCCAATACCAGAGCTCAAGAATAGCATTAAGATCCTTCTGGCTGAAACAGATGATGACATATCCCACATTTGCGCCAGGTCAATAATCATTGATCTGCCACTGCTGCACTTCAACAAAAAATTTGCTGTAAATTAGGCGTATTTCATCAGCGGCTTGCATGGAACCAATAAAACATTTTAAAGAGCAATATACCTGATGAGTGAGAACAATTCCATGGTGTTGTTCTGGATAGGGTAGCCTGTTACAGCCCATCGTGCCGTGGCCTTCAGCTGACAGATCGTAATGGCCGTCTGGCGTATATGGTTCTTGATGTTATGCGCTTCATCCAAGATGATGCGATCCCAGGACTCACGCAGAAAGGCTGGTTGATTTTTGCTACCAGTTGATGCTTCATCATCCTGGTAAGAATGACACCAAAGTCTTCATTACATTGATGAAAGAGTCTTAAAGACCGTCAATACTACTGGGCCAGAAGGGATTAGACCACACAGCTAAGTCACTGACAGGTGGCTATCTCATTAACTCAGCTCTCAACTAACATAAGAAAAAGAGGATCATGGGGACCAACAGGCACCGATTGGGGAAGTTTTCTATATAGAGGGAGCAAGTAGCTACAAGTAGGACAGTGGGGCTTTAAAATCATATGAACATACAAACGATTTGAACAAAAATGTTCTTGTAAGACATCCTACGATCCTGTGCTGCTTCAATCATTTGATAGAAATGAAATGGAGGAAACATATACAGTGAAATCCTACAGTAATGATGGTGGTTTCTTGTACAGCACATGTATCCACCATGTATAAGCCAACATAGGGTTGATTTGGTGTAACACACTTTCTGGAAGACTGCAGGTGTAAATTAGGACTTGTCACATTTGACCAATTGCTCTTGATTTGAGTGGATCTACCCCTTTGTTTTCTACATAGATCCAATTATTAAGCTCTTACCTTCAACGCTTTCACTCCCTTGTCATCCTTCAGAAGTGGTTTAAGATCGCTCCTAACCTGGTTATAGCTCGCGAAGACCATGTCATACTTGGCCAGTTTCTCTGGGCTGATTTCCCGATTTGTTCCACGGTACAGGTAGACTTTTAGTTGGCCAGGCTCGCAAAAACGTTCAACCTCCTTGGCCCACTGGTCCATGTTGGATGCTGGGCATATCACTAGGGTGCAAGGGTTTTCTGAATTGAATAAAAGATAAGCAAATATTACAACCATTTTATATCCTTGATTATACATCATCAGTCTTTCTTTTTCCCTCTGTTTCACCAATGGACAGAGGTAAGGATAACCCGAAAAACATAATTCCTTTGACACCATCTTCAGTGGGCAGAGGCAAAACAAAAATCTTCATCCTAAAAAGTATTTGTTGAAGGGATTTCCCAATGATAATAATAATAATTATATTGGATTCATATATAGTGCATGTATCGACCTTGCAAGGTCCTCCAAGGCGCTCCAACATTACCTGGCTATGCTAGGCTGCCGATTTCGACGCTCACAGCATTTAAGGAATTCCTTCCTACATGTACCTGTACCCATTTAACACCTGGGTGGAGAGTGGCAAATGATACCTACCTGATTCTTTATGTGCCTCCTGTTTCTTCAGGAGTACCAGTGAGATCATGGTCTGGATATACCCAAGCCGCGTCTTATCAACTGAAAATAGAAACAACAGAGCATACTAGCCATTAGGAATATCAAGCACTGGAAAATGGAATATTTTGCTTCAATTCCATTGGCTTTTACTACAAATGATAGAGGTATGTTATCACACGTGACTGCTTTGCTTTAGTATTACCTACTCCAGAGATGCCAAGTTCAAAGATCAGCTATGCGTGACATTTCATGACTCAGCGCGTGAGTTAGGGTATAGCGTACTTGTAGCATATAAATTGTACATTTGATTTCAAAACACGAACCCAGCGAGGAGCTAGCTGAGACCTCGAGGCTGTCGGCCAGTAGTCTAGCAATTACTACCTTTTTTTCCCTTTTTTTCCCCAGTCTGGCCCTGATGCTTGACAAAAATCCAGTTTGGCCCTGATGTGTGACAAAAGTGGTTGCCATGCGTGACAGCGTTTTTTTGCCCTCAATGCGTGACTGTCACGCACAACGCGTGACGCTTGCTAGCTCTGCTACTCTTGATTTTATCTCATAACAGGCAGTCCCTGAACTCATTGAGGTTAACGTACATTTGCAGCTACGTAAATCAGACATTTATTTTCAAATCAGCAATACAAATTTTACTGAGCTATGAATGACATAAACTCTACTTTACTAGGGCATAGTGAAAGTATCTCTGGTAAAATTTACATTAGAATATTAATCTTCACAATTAAGCCTCTTAAAGGTACTATGTCCCTTTTGCAGCTAACATCAAATTTTGTAGAACTTTGCAGGAAATATGAATATGTCACGTATGTCCTATCTGTGAAATTTAAACGTTAGCAGTGTCCTAGTATTAAAACTATCCAAGGAAACCCGTTTACTTTCTAGACTTCACTGTCAGACACTATTGAGTGACTGACTGACTTCTTTTTTTTTCTTTGGTAATAACATACATATAATGAGCTGTAAAGGGTACATGAGCACTACATCAATAACCCAATTCTTGTAATGGCCAAAATTAAACTGATTGGATCTCTGTGCAGCACAAAACGTATGGCCATTTGGTACAAGGGTCTGAAAATCAGACTATTACTTTAGTGATTGCGTGCGCCTGTAATCCAGCTAAAAAGTGGAAGTTACAAACTGATTCAGCCGAGGACGCAGGTTCGAAACTGAGTCACGTCTTTCGGATGGTGACGTTTAAAGGTCGGTCCCAGACGTAAATAATCATATCTGATTGATACACGTCTGTAAAAACCCAATACACACACACACACACACGCCATCAATAAAGTCGATTCGACAATAAATGGTCGTTATTTTCCCACTTTAAGACATTTTCAAGCCCTTTCGTTTTAAGGGAAGTTCTGAATTATTATTTTCTTTCAAATGCCATTGGAATTTAACCTTTTCATTTTTTTGGCCTGCAAATTGGACATAAGTACCGTATAGGCAGGAACTTTGACACCTTCGTCCTGACTCTATTATTTAAAGGTCAAAGTTCATCAAAAATCGCAAAACCAATAATGAAAGTTACATCATCAGATACAGAGCAAAAATAGTGAAAGTCACAGGACATGGGTATGAGGTTTAATGTTTGAAGAGTATACAATACAATATTTGTGACAAAAAACAAGGTCTCTTACCAAGAATTCCTCCACATGGATTTTTTTGTGCCTCTCTCCATGACAGCCAAGCGAGGGCATGCTTCTGATGACTCTTGAGAGTGACTTGGAGGTGGCTGGGATCATCTGCCTCGGTCTCAGCAGATGGGCAAGTTTCAAGAGCTCTAAAGAATAAAGATGTAAAAAGATACTGAAGCTACTAAAAGTGCAAGTGCAGTTAGAATCAAATCGTTTACCCATGAAAAATACAAACTAAGGAGGTTGGGGTTGGCACAATAATGTTTAATTCATAACTCCTCCCACCCCCCCCCCCAAAAAAAATAAAGGAGAATAATACATGAACAAAAAAATACCTTGCATCCACTTTAGCTTTGTTATCCAGCAATGCTTCCTGCCAAATATATGAAAAGGAATTATAATAGGCATCGGAATCTTCAGATTTGCAATACATTGATAAATTAATAATCATTGTCCCTCCCCCACCAATGTTGCTATATTACTTCTTTTTCAAACAAGTTCTACTCATGTATTTTCATGTCAGATGCATGACTTTTTGTGGGAAAAGTGAGATTGTAAATGAACAGTAATTTGATGAATATCACATTTATTTAGCCTTTCAGGCTGGTCCTCAAACATATTATGTATGGGCAATGACAGTTGTGACTTTAGGTCAAGTTCGATTAATGATGCTTACTTAAGATGTTACGATAAATTCTCTGATGGGAGTATTGACTTACTGTTGGAGGCTTTGCAGTGTCTTTGTGAATTTCGCGGGCCTGACTACTGGAAAATATCTCTTGATTGATGTCTGTCGTAAGCTCCCACTGGTATGAGCAGCAGAGGCAACTCCTGTGAATAGAATGGAAATAACATCAATGTTCTTGCTGGAGAAGATTACACACATCAACAAATTAAAATGAAATGGGACTATATTTATGGAGATTGAAATATTAAGAGTGAATTACTAGCACTAACTAATTCAAACAACAACTCGAAATTTTCTCAACCTTTTGAGCATTTGATCTCAAGTGGAATCAGCGCGTGACAAATCTCATATTTTGTTATTATTATTATTATGAGATTGAGGAGGGTTGATGTACACACTGACCTGCATATTGATAAGGAAGATACATTGCTTGTGCTTGCTGGTAGCGTTGCTGTGCCATTGCCTGGCTCGCGGGCTGAAGTGGCTGGAAATGGAAATGGATGTCTGCTGCAAGCTGCCACCTACGGGTATGTGGCTACCACTGGTATGAGCAGCAGAGGCAACTCCTGTGAATAGAATGGAAATAACATCAATGTTCTTGCTAGAAACCGTCACGCATGTTGGCAAATTGAAATGAACTGGGACTAGCAACCCAGCAGATGCGTGAGGATGGGACCAGAACATGCATGGATATAACTTCACTCACACATACATACCGATGGATACAGGCATCTATAGCTAGTGCGTGCTACTCATACATAGAATGGCAACCTATTGTTACAAATGGGGAAAGGTGTGAAATTTTGGCAACATATGGGCCCTGTTGCATTAAACTTAGCATGGTAACTTGGCTATTAGTGGAAACTCCCAAGGAAAGCTTGATTTGATTGGCTGTTGATTGATGTTGCCATGGTACTTATTATTGACGTCACAGTTGCAATCAATATAGTAAGTTTCATGCAACGGGGGTCCTGGAGTAGTGGGGAATTTCCATAACTCTACTGTATGGAACTACAATACTAATAATGTTCATGGTTATTCTCTTCTATACAATTACAGGTACATGGAAATTTGAAACTTGCAAAAATCATTTAAAAATCGCTGAGCTATAAAAATAGGGCTGTTCAAGTTGTCTATAAAATCATATCGAAAACTGTCCATTACCTTGGGCTGACAGGTTAAGCTGTGGAGGTTTGTACGACTTGGCTGCTATGTCCAATGTAACGATGGCCGTCTCCAAATCAGCGCAGGCTTGGGGGGGAGGCATTATGACCCCCCCCCCCTCCTAAGATCTCAATTAAAGTTGGCAATTTAAAGATGTAAATTGGTACACATATTGAATAAAGTATAATGAACCACATGACAACAATATTTTGCTTCGTTTTTAAAAATTTACTTATTTCTTATGTAATATGCTAATTTTTTTGCAATATTTTAAAACAAACCTTTTTTGCGGTTTTACAGTGTAAAATCGTTGGAAAATTAGTTGTTTGATATATCTAAACACTCCAACAGATGAACTACATGGTTTGTTTAAAATTAAAGTTCAGTAAAATGCATTAATTGTCATGAATATGCAAATTAGCATACAGAGAGAGAGAGAGAGAGAGAAGATCAAATATGGGGAAAACAATTAAAAAGAGCTCTGTATAATCAAGCCATATACTGTCTATTCAGGGCAAGAAGGTGAGATGGGGGCAGATAAGAAGAGAGGGAAAGGGGAGACGGGATAGAATATGGGGGACAACAATGAAAAGAGCTCCGTATAATCAAGCCCTATACTGTATAGATAGGGAAAGATATATACTGTATTCAGGGCAAGAAGGGCATTAACATTGCAGCGCTTTGTAACTGCAAGGAAAAGGCGATATATCAAATATCATTTGGATTGGATTAACTCACATCCTTCAAACACATTGCAAACATCCTTCTGGTTCTCAAACAGTTAACTGATATGATATTTGTAGATGAAATGGTAGAATTGTTTCTCTTCGCCACTAGTCCAAAATCTTGTTAATTTTTATTTTAAGAGCAACCGCTTTAACTTCGATCTTCCTCCTACCTGCTGCTTGTCCAAGATGCGATCATCTTGAATTTATACGCCCGGCAAAACAAATTATGGAATTTGTTGATCATGCCATCTTTGGCTGGCAGCAGGTAGGGAAGAGATCACGAAATAGGAGAAAGCCAACAAGATTATGGACTACTTCTCCACGTACATACGTCACCATCACTATGAATTCAACAAATTAGTAGATTGGGCATTCTCTGCCAAAATTCCCTTGTCAATATCCTACTGAACATTCTACATACAAATATAACTTGATGATTTGATGACAGCTGAAAATATTCCTGAGGCATACGGTACCTCCCTAGCAACAAAGCAAGTTTTGGAAAAACTGTCATCTTTTTTTTATAATTCAAAATTGCCAAAAATTTATCATCTAGACCACATTACCTCATGACGTTTAGCAAGGTAAAACTCAACAAAAATGAAAAAATTAGAAAATGAGAAACATATTTGCTTTAAAAAAAAAGAATTCATGATTTAATGTGAAGACTAGAACTTCATAAAAAGGCACAAATATCCATACGAACAACATTCTTACATTCAATATTCACTACATAATAATAATAATAATATGTCTTGTTTACCCAGGGTAGTCTCATCAGTATTCATACTGTTCTCCCTGAGGGCCCTGAAATCATATTCAATATCAGGCAAGTCATATTTAACAGCCCTTTTTTCCCACCGAATTCATTGGTCTCAATATTCCCTATGGGTTGGTGTATTGATAGTTTACTCAGTTATAGTAGGTATACAAATATACACTGTCTTGAGAGGCTCTAGTTAAAAATATGAACCTAAAATAGCACCATTGCAGCATATATTTGTTTAAATACTTCATTCATATATTCATTGTTCAAGTTCAAGTTCAAGTTCAATTTTATTGATCATGCACAATTACATGGCATAAAAATCATTTTCCGGCTGTTTCTCAATTTATATAACATCAATTAACATACATGTACTATCAATTGTTCATTGATTGGTTAAAAGATTTTGCTGTAAAATTCAAAGAATTCAAACTTACCAGCTGTAGCCATTCCTGTTGCCTTGTCATTTGGGGGGTTGAAAATTCAGCGAGCGTACAGGATTTAAAATGCCTCTAGTGGGCAACTCCTGCGGTATATACTACTGCGGTGTCACGGTGCTCACGGCATGTAATCTACACTGATCCGAAGTCTAATTAACTGCGCTGCACTACCACAGTAGCTGTACAAGTTATTCTGCTTGATTATAAATGCCCGAAACGTCCTCTGCACCATCGATCCTCTGCACATAGGGTCAAATCACAGGACCGCCATTGCAGGCCTTAAATTTTGCAGCTATCACTCATAGGATGTCAATGTTGTATTCTCATATTCAACGTCGAAGTTCAATTTACTTTAATACTTCACTCACTGTGACAGTTAGAGTACTGTGTTAAATTTTGCAAGCCTTAATTAGTAATTTTAGCTGAGGGAGCTGTAAATGGTACTTTTTGCAAAATAGTGTTTATTTTTGATCATGTGACACACTTTTAACCAATCAATCAACAACAATATATGAATGATGTATATAAATATAGTTAAATCTGCATATAACGACCAATCAAGGAAGACACACAATGTGGTCTTTACAAGCAGGTGGTCTTTCTGTACAATGAAAAAAAATTCTTGCAGATTTTGATGGAACACTTATTCAGGGGAAATGAAAATGCAGCCTTTTATGGAAAGGTGGTCTGTCTATCCAGATTGCCTCAAAATCAGGTTTCACTATACTACAATGTACATACCATGTATGTGTATATCTGGATTCAAAAGTGTATAGTCTTCAGTACAATTTACCATTCCAGCTGTGGACCATGTGGTTTGCGGTTCGAGTCCTGCCGCGGCACTAATGTCCTTTGGCAAGACATTCTACATTTACCATACTCTACCCAGGTGAGGTATATGGGTACCTGGCAGGAAGTAATACCTTGAAACGCTAGAGCACCATAATGGTAGCCACGCTGAAGCTGGGGTAACAATTGTGGAGTGCCAGAAGTGTTAAGTCTGTCAGTAATTGGCGCTATGCAAGAACCCACTATTATTATTAATTAGTGTCGACAATAAAGATTCAAAGACAACCAATGCTTTAATCTCAGATGGCAACAGGTCTTTCTTGAAGAAGACTGAAACAAGTCTTTCAGTTTTGGAACATCAAAGACTTCTCAAAAGAAAATATAGATTCCTAATGACATTAATAACTACCGAACTGTATTCCTTAATTTGACAGCATGATGGTGTCATATGAGAGGTAAGCAATATTATCAAAGGGTGATCATCCAAACATCACAGAGCTTTTATCTTTACTACAGCAGTCTGAGAAATTATTGGTTTATGAAAAAGTAATGCAACAGAGCAAGGTTATATAGCTCTTTAATACCTTTTTGAGAATGTCAACATGAATAAATATATGTAATTTAACTTTAACTCATTGGCAGTAAAGATTGATTTTGATTTCATGCAATTATGTGACAAGACTATCTAAATTATTGGTTGCAGGAAATTTTGAGCTTTTTTTAATACCCTACTACACCAACTATATTAATTCTATTGATTTTTCTATTAAGCGCTATATAAAGGCTAAATATTATTATTATCATTATTATTATTATTATTACATAAAGTAGATTCATACAATTCATCATTATAATGATTATATCTGCTGAAAGCCTAAACGGTACATACTTTTACATAGATTTTATGTTCTTTTGACTCTCAGCAGATAATATACACATCATTTTTAATCTTTACCAGTAAGTGCTACAATGAAAACAGCAACAACTGCCTCACTCATATACAAATAAAATCTCAAAAAATGACTTGATTTTCACATATCCAATCTTTCTTAGGCACGCAACTGACATGATAAGTTATGCACTTGACATATCATATTATAAAATAGGAGACACATTCTAATATTGCATAGAGTACCCTCTGTATATTCTCATAGAGAATTTAACAACATACATCATATATGTATGTAATGCAAAAGCAGAAAATGTATGAATTTTTAAAGAGAACCCATACTGTTATTTGCAACATTCTGTGTGATGATTTGTTTGTTTTCCAGCATAAAACTTTCATTAATTCAACCACTCAAGAAATTTACATAATTTTCTGTTTTTTAGTCCAAGGAATAATTTTAACCATTTCTATGTCATTAAAATAGTTTCTCTCTCCTTTCTCTTGTGTCAGACTGGCAATGGAATGTGGTCAAATTATCTTTACCTTGCAGATGATTATCATGCTAACCACATATGCACATTATATTTCCCCTAAATTTCAATTTTCATTGGTACTAGCTCTAATCTAGATCGACAGTCATGCATGGTCAAGGGTCATCTAAGTCAAGGGTCATCAATGTCAGAGGTCACCTGGGCGAATGGTCACTCTGCTCCATGTACCTACTGGACGCCGAACAAGAATTTCAGATCTGCCAGACTGAGTTTCTCCTTCTTACTCTTGGACCTGGAGGGATACAATGAAATAAAGGAGCAATCAGAGTCAGAAAAAATAAGAATAAAGAAATAGTCTGTTCTAGCCAGAAAGGAGTTAACTCATTCTTTAACAATGATTTAATGCCGTTCTGACTCTCAGCAGATAACATGATAACAACAAAGTGACTGATTAAAATCCACTCAAATCATTCCATAAACATGTAAAGGGCATTTCAATATAATAGCTAATTCATGCATTTACATAAGGCTTTATAATAAGCACCACAAATAGTATTTACACGATAGTATTCTCTAAATCAAAGATAATATATACTGAATCCCTGCTTGATGTCATAATTCAACACAGGCCTTTTTGTTTCACGTGGCACATTAGACAGCTTGATGAAATAAGCCTTTACAGAAGTTTCATGACATTCGTCATATAATCTTACAATACCGTAGCTATTATATCCCTCATGTATATTTTTTGCAATACGATTGTACAGAGCACAAAAAAGGGATAGTTTCAATATAAATTTGAGAGTGGGAGAAAATCTACTATTTGGCGTGGTATAGTACATTCCGGAATCCACTTAATCTTACAATGTAGCTACTATACACCTACCCTGTTAGTACATCATTGGCAAGCTGTGTTTTCTTTTTCTGTAGCTGTAATATTCTCTCCTCAATCGTGTCAGAGCAGACAAACTTGTGGATGTGAACACTCCTTGTCTGCCCCATCCTGTAGATCCTATCACAGGCTTGGTCTTCTAAGGCTGGGTTCCTACACAAGCAAACAAACAAGGTTTTAACTCATGTACCTTTTTGTACCCCAATGTATGAAGGTCAGGGAGATTTCTTGTTTGTTTTTCATTTACATTTTGAAATACCCGAAACTATTTGACACGGGAGAAGTCCAGGGATGAGCAAGCAGACCCTATCTCAGATAATATTAGGAACTGGTGATACCATTTCATTTTGAGAGAATTTACAAAACTCATGCTATGTTTTAAAATGATTGTGTTTTAAAATCATGAATAACAATAACAAATTGACTCAATCATCTCTTGATGGAAATAGGAAACACTGAAAGACACTGGACACAAATATGGATACATCGGACAACACAAAACATGTGGCAACAGAATTTGGACAAAAAATTCCTGGTCATTATTGGAAAAACAGGGCTTGAGCAAACAAGCCTAATTGTACATGTGATACAGAAGCCTTGCAATTGATAGAATTGTTATACATTATTAACTGCTGTGTATTCTTTAATATATGCCAATATTTTATCAGTTAATCAATCAATTTTGTTATATTTGCATATATCTGTCCTATAATTTGAATTCGCAAAACTCTACCCTTTAAAGCCTGTCTGCACTAGTTTGGCCAGGGGGATTAGATTTCCCTGCAAAGTCACTCACAGGTTGTTATCTCATCAAATCACCTCTTAATTAACATAAGAAAAAGAGGATCATGGGGGACCAACAGGCACCAATTAGGCATTGTTTGCTATATAGAGGTCACAAGTAGCTATAAGTAGTACAGTAGGGCTTTAAATGAAAACTCAGTAACATATTTTCTTACCAGTGCATATCAAGGAGGAAGAGGTTGTTACCCCCGATGAGGTTCAGGCCAACACCACCTGCCCGTAGGGATACCAACATGACCTGGCGACCCCTGGGGTTGTTATTAAAGTCCTCCAGTGCCTCATCTCGTTTCTTGGGTGGGATATCACCACGGATACTCCAATACTCGAAGCCTGCCTTCTTGAGGTGGCTAGCTACCACATCCAGCATTCCAGTCCATTGGGAGACGAGGACGCTCTTCATGGGGCGGTCCGTAGGACCCGCGGCACGGATCTCCTTTAGTCGATCAATCACAAACTTGATCTTTACAAAGAGGGGAAAAGATATGGTTATATTATTAAAAGGCATCGTTTAACAATGTTAAATCTGAGATGCATGGCCCAAAATAAAGTGTCTGTGACATGTTGTAATATTGAAGCCCTAAAAAATTAGTGCTTCATGAAGTGCCTCAATAAAGTAAAAAATCTTCAGGTGACTGGTTTTACCATACTCATTTCCACCAATAGACTAGTGTTATAAAAACCATTGGGAAAACAGATTTTGAAATTTTTATTTCCAATCATAAATATCTTGATAATCAGACAGGCGATCGGCTCGAAAAAGTCATGGGATTCCTGACTGACCTAAAGGTTTCTAATTATGATTGCAGCATGAGCTAAATCTAGGATTTTGTTTCAGAATCTGAGGCAAAGATATCTTGACCTGACAAAACCTGACCCCTAGTCACCCTCGCCCCGATCTATTTTTGACCTTGCAAGGTCGATACGTGCGCTATATAAGAATCCAATATTATTATTATTATTATTATTAAACTAACCTCGAATTGAGCATAAATATTCTCAACTGACCTTTGTACTTGAGAAGCTGGGTTCATACAAGGTCGTCTTGGGCTTGACCTGACCTGACCCCTGGTCACTCTCAACCAGACCCATCTCCTTCATCTGACTGACCAGGTCAAGCTCGATACCGTCCGTCTCACAAGACTCTTGGTCTGGAAGCTACATTTAACAAAGGAAAAGTGAGTATGAATCAGATTAAGTTGTCACTCTCTGAATATAAATCTATTCTTATACATTGGAAGAAAAAAAAATGTTGAGTTCTGCAAAAAATTATTATCCCTTAAATTCCATTATAATGTGCCTTCTCTTTATATATATATATATCAACATATGCATTATTAATACACCTACGTGTTATTTTGGTGTAAAACTTAATAACTGAAATGTCTACAAATACATTTAATGAATACAGATATGCTTCATTCAGTGTATAATTTAATCTATTTCATCAAATTGGCAGCAGTAATTACGCTACAACAGTACCGTAGACTCCTAACATTAAAGCTACAACACACATACTAAATCCACTTACCTCTTTGAGCAAACTAAGATGACCACAGCATTGTCTCAAGCGTAGCAGGATGACCAGGATGTATGAGGCGGACACCTTGCCTCCTGGAGCCGCTCCGGCCGCCTGCTCCATCACCTGCCCTGCTATACCACCACCACCACCAGTGGGGGCCATGGAAGGGTGTACCGGTACAGTGGGGGCTGCCCCGCCCTGCCCCTTCCCCTCATGCCAGTTGATGTAGGCCTTGACAGTGGATCTGCGATTGGTATGGTCAAGATAGGGAACAGTGAAAATAAAATTTAAGAGAATGAGAGAAGAAGAAGTGACAGAATGATTTATCTTGAAATATCAGCTATATATCACAACAAAGAAAGGCATTAAGCACTACCTCTGTAAATACATTTTAACAAATGCTCAAACTATATATATATATATATCAGGGCCCATGTTTATAAACCTTACCATGCTAGTGGTCAACTAATTACATAGGACAAATAGTCTTAACATGTTTTATGAATATGAGCTCTTTCGCCTATCTAACATTTGTTTTATCAAGAGAAGATGACAACTCGAATTCCAGAATAATTTACGTGAGTGATAGTCAAAAATAACATTAAATAGTATACCATGTGAAGAGACTAGATAAAACACATGACGCAGAAAAATATATGTAGTCCTTAACACAATAAGTTATATTAAGAAAAGTACAAGCTGAAGATGAGATAAAGAATAATCATTTTTACCAGTAATAAGAAGTTTTTAGAAATGGATAATAAATACTGAGTTCAATTTCATTTCTGTCTGTCGGCAAACAGTTGTCTTTCACCATAAATTTTTTTTAAAAGCATTTACTGAGGTTATTACCTGGATTGTTGAAAGAGCTGATCATAGATCTTTCTCTCTTCATTCAAAAGAGATATTGAGTGACTGTGTAACTTCTTCTCAGGCAGAGAAACCTACACGACAAAAAAGAAAGGTACATGTATTATCTAATCAACATAAAAGTTTATAAGATGATGACGTGGATCCTAATCAAATGATTGGTTGAAAGCGTACACGTGACCAGGCATTTATTTTGCCTAATGCCTAATTTGGATAATGACCGGCCAATTCTAATGACCAATCATTAGTAAAATCATTTTATAAAACATAATCTTATAAAACAAATAATACACATCATTTTGTTCGGGCATTAGTAAAATTACCCTCAAGCAGTTAGACTGTTCCAAAGGTACCTTGTGTGGGTAATTCTTACTAATGCCCTCCCTGTTGTATATTATTTGTATAATACACGATGACAAGAATAATTCCGAAGATCACCATACACGATCCTGCATCATGACATATGGTGTGTCACGAAAAGGAAAGACCTAATTACAGTCAGTAATTGCAGTAAAAGGGTTTTCTGGAAGTCAATTCTAGGATTTTTTCAAAACACTGGACTCATGCTACATCTTTTCATAAAATAATATACATGTGTACAATTCAAGGATGATTGATATTTTAATAGTCTTCGACCCCTGTTATGACTACTCACGATTGGATTCCCACTGCTAGTCTTTTGTTCCTTGGTTCTCCGTAAGAGTAGACCCTTGACCAGTGTATGAAGTCTCTCTGATTTGGCCTCTGGAATACAAAAAAAATTGTCATGGAATAATCTTTTACAAAAAATGGATATAAGGTCCCTTTGTTTGTATGTGGAAATAATTTCAGTTATTATATTTTCACTCTTTTCATTCTTTCCTTTTCAATCGTTTTCATTCAGTTCCTCTTTCCAATCTTTTCATTTTATTTTAGTATCATTAACGTTATATTATTCATTTTATTTTCTTTCCTTTATGAAAAAAAAATGTTGAAATTACCGAGCACAAAAAAAAAAGAGCTTCCCCATAATTAATCACATCTTTAAAATGAGCTCAGTACTTACTTGGTCCTGCATTCTCTACTTGTCTCTTCCACACCTGATATTCATCAAAGGGTGTACATCTCAAGAATCTAATCAATAGAAACAAATGTAGCTTTTATTAGAGGTCCTGACACAAAAACAAATGCTGTAAAACAGCATTACTTTATAGACTGGAAGTGGAGGAGATGAAGGAAACAATATCTATGATATTCTTTGCGATCTATTTTTATTCATTTTTTTCTAAAGAGGTATTTTGTAAAATCCAAACATACTATCATAACAGAGCCAGTAGAGCATTTACTGTGTGTTGTAGTATACAAATTAACGTTCGTCTGGCCCCGAAGCAACTGATAGCATTTCCCACATCTGGGGCATACACATGCATGGTCAGGTCAATAATCTTGGATCTGCCACTGTTCCACTTCAAGTCTGATTTTAACCAAAATTTGCCATAAGTTATGCATATTATATCAGCAGCTGTGAACCAAGAAAACATTTCAAAGAGCAATATACCTGAGAAGTGAGAACATATCCAAGATGTTGTTCTGGATCGGGGTGCCCGTTACAGCCCATCGTGCCCGGGCCCTCAGTCGACAGATAGCAATGGCCGTCTGGCTCTTATGGTTCTTGATGTTATGGGCCTCGTCCAAGATGATGCGATCCCAGAACACATGCAGGAGGGCTGGTTGATTTTTGCTACCAGTCGATGCTTCATCATCCTGTTAAGAATGACACCAAAGGTCTTTATTACATTGATGAAAGAGTCTTGAAATCATATGAACATACACACGATTGTCATCGTTCAGAAGTGATTTAAGCACGCTGCTAATCAGGTTATAGGTAGTAAAGACGATATTATATATAAATCCACTACCTAAGCTCTTACCTTCACTGGTTCCACTCCCTTGTCATCCTTGAGAAGTGATTTAAGATCTCTGCTAACCAGGTTATAAATTGTAAAGATGATATTATATATTTGGCCTTTCGCTCTTGACTTGAGTGGATCTACTCCCTTTGTTTCTACATAGATCAAATCCTTAAGCTCTTACCCTCACTGGTTCCACTCCCTTGTCATCCTTCAGAAGTGATTTCAGATCGCTGCTAACCAGGTTATAGGTTGTGAAGACCATGTCATACTTGGCTAGTTCCTCTGGCCGCCTCTCCCGATTCGGTCCATGGTACAGATAGATGTGAAGCTGGCCAGGCTTGCACCGACGTTCAACCTCCTTGGCCCACTGGTGCATGAGGGATGCCGGGCATATCACCAGGGTGCAGGTGGATCGTATGAAGTCCTCATCCTTTTCACTAGGTTTCGCTAGTAAAGATAAGCAAATATTACAACCATTTTATATCCGCAATTATACCTCTTCTAACCTGTGCGATCAGTCTCTTTTTTCTCTCATTATATTTTTTTCTACTGTTCCAATAGACAGACGTATGGATAACCCCAACTGTAATGCTTCTGACACCATCTTCGGTGGGCAGAGGCATAACAAAACTCTTCCTCCTTAAAGTGACTCAGTAACATAGCCTCAGATTCTAAAACACAATTCTTGATTTAGCTCATGCTGCAATGATAATTATAAACCTTTAGGTCAGTCAGGAATCCCATGACATTTACAAGCTGATTGCCTGTCCAATGTTCAAGATATTTATGATTGGAAATCGAAATCAAATTTTGCGTTTTCCTAAAGAATTTATACACTACAGTCTTTTGGGGGAAATGAGTATGGTAAAACACGTCACTCAAAGATTTGTACTTTTTTGAGGCACTTCATGATCATTTTGAAGCGCAATTTTCTTAGGGCTTCAATATAACACCATATCACAGACACTGATAACATGTAGGGCCATGCATCTCAGATTTAACATTGTTAAAGGAAGTTATTGGAAGATGTTTCCAATGATACCTACCTGTTCCTTTCTGTGCTTTTCTTGCTGCCTTTGCCTCCTGTTTCTTCAGGAGTACCAGTGAGATCATGGTCAGGGTTTTACCAAGTCCCATGTCATCAGCTGAAAAAAGAAACAACAATAAATATTAAACCTTTAGGCATATCAAGCACATCAAACACTAATGGCATTTTTGCTTAAATTTCCTAGGGCAATACTTTGGCTTTTACTACAAATTATAGAGGTATGTTATCATACTGCTTTTTTTGTTATTGGATCTAATGGGCTAGGCAGAAGTACCTACTCTTGATTTTTATCTCATAACAGGTAGTCCCTGTTGACATACCAACAAGAAACGGAGCTACCCTAGATAAGTGCTATGGTAACATTCCTAAAGCATACGTTGGAAAACCGTGTCATCGTCTAGGAAAGTCCGATCACCAAAACATCCGCTTACTACCGGCTTACAAGCAAAAGTTGAAAAGAAGCCGGCCTGTCACTAAGCAACGGTACGCGTGGACTGATGACTCAACGGAGGAACTTCGAGCAGCCTTTGACTGTACGGACTGGGATCTATTGTTCAACTCAGCGAGCTCACTAGACGAAGCCACTGATGCTATCACAAGTTATGTCAAGTTTTGTGTCGACACGATTATACCCCGTAAAACGTTTAAAATGTTTCCCAACAATAAGCCATGGGTTACAAAGGAACTGCGGGACCTGCTGAAGGTAAAGAATGGTGCACTCATCAACGGTAACAAGACGCGTGTCAAAGAGGTACAAAGGGAAATTAAACGCTTAGTTGACTCTTGCAAAATGTCTTATAAAAACAAACTTGAAAATAACTTTCGAAATAACAAACCTGCTGCTGCCTGGAAATAGTCAATCTGCCATTTCTTATTTTACTGAGCTATGACAAAACCTCTACTTTGGGGCATAGTAAAAGTATATTGTAAAATTGAGATTAAAATCTTAATCTTCTTACGCCTCATAAGACAGGAAGGTTAACACCTTCATCTTGACTCTATTATTTAAAGGTCAAAGTTCATCAAAAATTATTACAAGACCAATAATGAAAGCAAAAATAGTGGAAGTCTCAGGACATGGGCATGAGTTTTAATGTTTGAAAAGTATATACAGTCAAACCTGTCTATAGCGACCGCCTAAGGGAAACACAAAAAGTGGCCTTTGGAGACAGGTGGTCACTAAAGCAGGTTTGACTGTAATATTATATTTGTAACAAAATAACAAAAAAAGGACTCTTACCCAGAATTCCTCCACATGGATGATGTTCCTCTCTCCATGACAGCCAAGCGAGGGCATACTTCTGATGAGGCATGAGAGTGACTCGGAGGTGGCTGGGGTCATCTGCCTCGGTCTCAGCAGATGGGCAAGTTTCAAGAGCTCTAATGAACGCAGATGTAAAAAAATACTGAAGCTACTACATGTGCAATTAGAATAAAATCATTTACCCATGAATTACAAACTAAGGATGTTGTGGTTGGCACAACAATGTTTGATTTATACCACCCCCAAAAAAAAAAATTTAAAAAAATAAATAAAAAATGTTATATCCATACTTGATCAACAAAATACCTTGCACCCACTTTTACTTTGTTATTAAACAAGAAGATTAAAAGGAATTAGGTATCAGGCATTGGAATATATTGACAACTTAAAAATCATTGTCCCTCCCCCACCGATGTCGCTACTTCTACTCATTTATTTTCATGTCAGATCCATGAGTTTTCAAGGGAAAAGTGAGATTGTCAACAGTATTTGTGTTGCCAATTTGAAGAATATCACATTCATTTAAAAGCCTTTAAAAATTCCTGGTCCTCAGACATTCCATGAATGGCCAATGACAGTTATGACTTTAGGTGGAGCTTGATTAATGATGCTTACTTATGAAGCTTTTCAATTGTTTCTCTGATGGTAGTATTCACTTGCTCTTGTCTTGAAAAGGTCATACGGCCACCGTACAGCTGCTGCATCTGAGGATTAGCTAGAAGCACAAAATAGAAAGGAAGGGAAGGGGATTTAGTTTCAAGTGACAGTGTCAAGACAAATACCCCCTTGGCTATCATTCCTAGGGAGTGTTTTACAGAGACTAAGATTGACTTGAGTTGGACTTGAACTATGGCAGGCCGTTCATGCCCCTGGTTGCTCTTACCATTGGTCTCTCAAGGGACGTCACAAATATACAGAACTTACATTTTTGTTAGTTCATTGTTGAAGAAAAAAAGTTACTTACATTGTAAACTTAACTTATGACTTGGACTTATTCTACGGTATGCGATTTATGCTCTTAAAAAGTCTTGAACCAGATGTGAACTCTGTGCCTGACATATCTCATATTTTATAATTGGTTTTATTATGAAATTGAGGAGGGTTAAAGTACACACTGACCTGCATATTGATAAGGAAGATACATTGCTTGTGCTTGCTGGTAGCGTTGCTGTGCCATTGCCTGGCTCGCGGGATGAAGTGGCTGAAAATGTTGCTTGATAGATGTCTGTTGTAAGCTGCCACCTACGGGTATGTGGCTACCACTGGTATGAGCAGCAGAGGCAACTCCTGTGAATAGAATGGAAATAACATCAATGTTCTTGCTAGAAACTGATATCCATGTTGGCAATTTTAAACAAAATGAGACTATAGCAACTCAGCAGATGCGTGAGAATGGGACCGAAAAAATTTATGGAGATTGAAATATCAACCATGAACTAATAACACTAGCTATTTAAAACAATAACTTAACATTTTCCTAACCTAAAAATGATATCTGTAAGCCTTGTTAAAGTGGTAACTTCACTCAAGGTGTGATATTCTGGTGGAGACATGGAGTAGTGGGGAATTCCAATAATTCTACTGTATGGAATTAGAATACTATGAAATTCATACTGAGCGATACATTTCATGGCAATAATGTTCATCGTTATTCTCTTCTATACAATTACGGAAACATGGAAATTTGAAAATGGCACAAATCATTTAAAAATTGCTGCGCGATAAAAGCAGGGCTGGTCAAGTTGTCTATAAAATTATATCAATAACTGACCATTACCTTGGGCTGACAGGCTAAGCTGCGGAGGCTTGTACGACTTGGCTGCTTTGTCCAATTTAACGATGGCCGTCTCCAAATCAGCGCAGACTTGTTTTAACCTTTGACCTCCGTCAGGGAGACTAGAGAGAGGTACCCTCTGCATGAGATCCTGCAAAATTATGAAAATTACATAAATAACAAATTCCCATTGTGATGTCATACATGAACCAAAGTACGATATTGAAGAAGTCAAACAGGGTGATCAGATCCTTGCTCTGGCAATACTTGCTCCAAGCTTTCTTTCATCAAAGATGTACTTATAGGGTAAAGGCTTTGGATTACAAATGGGTTTGAGTTTAGGTTTTGGGTAAAGATTAGGATTACTTAGAGTGCCAAGTCTAGAGTTGAATTCAAGAATTTGGTTGTTATCAAAAACTATCAGGGTCAGTTGTCACCAATCTGCAAACAGACAAGTTTACAAGTATATTTCTTACACCAAAATTTGCTCTCTATCAAATGTAAAAATCACATGAAGCTTACTCTCACATGGCAACAACTTATTTATGCTAGCAGATTCCAAACAGATACAATGTAATTCAATACTACCGAGCATAATTCAGTCCGTTTCTATCCTTAATGTTATTGTGTTAGTGCAGAATTTTTGTGTTATTGTATGATTTCTCATAAATATTATTTTCATTTATTCTCTCTTAAGAGGTTATTTAAAAAAGATATTTTAGTGTTTTGTTCAAAGATCCACCCCATTACTCATCACCATGTCAATGAAAAATGGGTTATGGTTAATGCTGGGTTGGATAGGGAAAAACAAGGACAGGGGGATGTTAGTATGCACCCAATATCAACCATCAAACACCACTGACCTTCTGTCTCTGCAACTGTCTCTCATAGGCCTGCCTCTGTGCCAGCAAAGCCCTCGGGTATGCTGCTGCTGTCCCAGACTGGTTTGAATCACTTCTCACTGAAGATACCTGTGGTACTACATTCACTGCTGGTTGATGTGAAGATGGAAGAGGGGCACCAGTCTTTTCTTGTTGATAAGCTTGTTGGTGGTGCTTTGATACATTGGAGGACGAGATGTTTGTGGCAGTGCTTGATTTTGTTTTACTGGAAGGCGCCACTCTATCGCTATCTTGGAATTTATCTGTGGGTAGAGTGCAGTTTGAAATAAAAATACAAAAATACACTGACTTAATCACTCCTTCGCTGTAAACAAAGACATTATACCTAAAAATTTAAATTACTACCTTTAACTCCCGATATCTTGAAAGGTTCTTATAGTAAAGGATGACTGTGCTAATTTGCATGTCACAGTGGAATGTAAAAAGTGGACTCTTTATAGAAATAAAAACAAAAAAATTAGATATAGAAAAGTAACAGATTCTTAGTTTTTTTTTTCTTTTCATACAAATATCCCTTTTATTAAGATGTTTCCAAAACTTATCTGAAAAGGGAGAAAAGTTGGTTTGACATTTTCCCCACCAAGTATCCCTTTTTAGTTAAAATTTATGAATGGTAAACAAATAGAAATTCCCATAGGCGAAAGAAAGTATGGGATGCAACTTACTGTCTGGTACATCAATTTTCATTTTGCGCATGAGTCTTTCTCTTAATCCAAGACTAGGATCCACAGGGGAATGGCGATCTTCCTCCTTGCTCCTGGCTGCAGTGGGAGCAGCACTGGACTTATTCTCAGTGTGAGTTACCACTTGGGATCTGACCTTAGGTGTGTCTTCAAGGATCCTGCAGTCATCATCATCATTGCTGTCTTTGCTCTCTTCGTCATCACTACTATCATCGTTCGGTGCACTGCTGTCCCTCCACGACATATTCATACTGTCGTTCTGTCGCACCTTGTCAAATCTTGCAGCCAATTTATCTTTTTTGCCTGTTTGTTGGCTATCATGTGCCCTGTCCTTTAGTGCAGCTTGATGATATTGCTTTTCTGGTTGCACCTTGTCCGTAGCAATCGCTTCCAGAGTGGATTTGAGAGTGGATGAGGTAGTGGTACCAGTCTTTGATCTTACATCATTGAAGGTAGATGCTTGGGATCTAACCTTGGGTGTGTCGTCAATGATGATGCAGTCATCATCACTGTCTTTGTGCAGCTGACCGCTGCCTTTTGCCTGACCCTTTAGCGCTGCTTGCTGATGTTGACCTTTCTCCTTGGCAACCATCTCCGAAGAGGACTTCACTCCATGGGTTGGCTGATTCTCAGGATACCTCCTATGGTCTCTCTGAGAGGAGGAGGATTTCTTTACAGGATTGATTTCAGAACCATGGTGTCTCTCTTTACCATCCCCTTCACTCCGACTCCTCTGAGAAGCATTCTTTGATGAGCTCCTTTCAGAAGCATCACTGTCTCCCCGACCATGCCTCTGCTCCATCCAACCCTGTTTTCGGTCTCTTCCATCACCTGAGAAAACATCTCGGTCCGGGTCTGAACTGGTCCTTCTCGGTCCATCGCCCCTTTTCTTCAAATCTGGTCTCCTGGCTGCATCCCCACTTTTCTCCCTTCTCCTTTCTCCATCCATTCCATCTTTAGATGATGGATGCCTTCTGGAATCATACTCTTTGCTCTCTTTGCTACCAATTTTCGAAGCATGCATTTGCTTGGTGATATCCTCCACATTTCCCTGTTCACTTCGATGCTTGCCAGCTTTCACCTCAGTGTTGCTGTGCTGGCTTGTCCCTGTGTCATGTTTCCCCAATGGCTGTCTGGTGGACTTCACTGATGTGTTTGGTTTCTCTACAACATTGCTCTCACTACGATGCTTGTGACCATGAGATGAGAGGGAAGAGATCCCATTCACGTCACGAAGTGGCCTACGATCAGCTCGATGCACCTGGGTGGAACCATCAAATAAAATCCCATCAATTATATAACACAGAAATGTAAAAAGCCTAAGAAAGCCATTTTCTGCATATTAGACATTTGATAATGTAGCATATTATTCCTTTATACTTTATGTCAAAATATGCAATTTAGGAATTTAGAACTAATTTCTGGAGCTAAGTTTGAATTTCCAAGATCATTCAAGATATCTGTCTACTTTAAAACGTGTCAAACATTTGCTCTTATACATTTTGCTATCTCAACTTCACTTCTGTTGTTATCTCAGAATGACAGATAATTCTAGAAATGGAGAGAAAAAGACACACACAAAAAGAAAGCAAAACAAGAAAACAAAAGAAGGAAGCATACAATGATTGATAATTAATAGCATCCAAGTTTCCTCAACCAAATTTTCTATAATGCTTACCACTACATAGCCACACCATCCTTTGCCTTCTTGCTTTGATGTTGTGCATCGATAATACTGCCTAATAAAAGAAAAATGGACAAAAAACATAATAAAAAACAGGTAGACAAGTCGTTTTATTAAATATACCTGTACATGTACATTTGAATTTGGTTTGAAGTCATGCTTATTCAGACTTATATGTAGTCGTTTATAGTTTGTAAAAGAAAGCTTTGTGGAATGCCTTCAACTTATGTCTTATAAATACTGCTAATCGAAGAAGAAAAAGGTGAACTTTCCATCCATCCTTGAAGCACAGATCAAGTATGAAATGACCAATTAATTATTCTTCTGTAGCGATTTAAGTATTGTTTTTAGAAGTGATTAATTCAATAACTGGTTTCACTATGAAAACCTCCACACACAATTACACTTTTTTTTTTAAAAGAAGGAAGGTAAGAAAAACTAAGAATTAAATTCTACATGATCTTTCCTGAAATGTTAAGTTTAGGTAGTTTAGCCGAGTATGGAGCATCCTACATTAACTCACATATAACTATAGCAAAAAACCATTTATATAAATAAAAGATCCACTTGCCTGAGCTCCCCATTAGCTTTAGATCCAAACCCTTGTAGTTCTACTGGTACATCAGAATGTTTGAGGCAGAATGATGGCGGCAGACTAGAATGGTGAAAATAATGTTGTAATTAAAATAAATAATTCGGGTTAGGTCCATAGGCATACCTCATCTCTAAGACTGCTACAAGACAAGAAGTAATGTTTTAGATGGATCAAGACATAATAATTAATGGTACCGATCAATTTAAGGTGTAGGGGTGTTGTGGTCTAGTGGATAAGTCTCTGGATTGTAAACCACAAGGTATGGGTTTTGAATCCCTGCCACAACACTAATGTCCTTTGGCAAGACGTTAATCTACATTTGCCACACCCAACTCATTTGAGATAAATGGGTACCTGGGAGGATTATTCCTTGAATGCACTGTGTGCTAATAACAACTGTCAGGGCTAAGGTAATAACTTCCAAAGCTCTTTGGAAGAGGATAGGGGCATTACGGTATATCATAATATGTTATGCGCTATACAAGAACGGATTATTATTATTATTCAAGGTAAAGATAATTCATATCTCTATTCTGATATCTTATTCACTTCTCTTGATTTATTTCAAGGTGTAATTAGGATAAAAAGTTGACAATGATGAATATTTAATTCATTCTTCCAAATGAATACAGTTGTATCACTTTAAAAAGCAATCTTTGTCATCTCTTTAAAGTGCATTTGTGTTTTCATATTTTGAAAGGCCTGCTCGGGTATTCTGTATTGTATTTTAAAAGGAAATCAATATTGTACTTGCATATATTGTAAATTGGGGTTATAGAAAAACATACCTTGTTTCCTGCACAAAATTGCACTTTTGTTCAGCTGTAGATCCACAGATGTAAAAACTCTTTCCTTTTCTTGGTCCTTCACTTACACCAGTTTTAAGAAAGCATGTTTCTCCTACAAAAGGATAGATAAAGTATGGTTTGAGAAATATTAAAATTGTAATTTTTATGATATTCAATATTACGGGCTTGAACTTGAAATTACATTTACACACTCCACCAAAGCATAGAGAGTCAATGCTAATGCGTATTGACCTCTAGTGCTGCACTACGTGCTAAAAGGCAGCGATTGCACACATGACACATGAATAGTCAATACACACATAACACACAAATGCACACAATGAAGACGATGTGGCTGTAGGCAGGTTTGACAGTAGACTCAAGACTTGTATTTTCAAATCATTCTTCCTAATATCGCCAAGTTGAAAAAAATTGTATTTTACTGCTATTCAGGTGTCATCAATTGTCACTAAAGTACCGATTTTGAGTGAAATCAGTTGAGTTTTGTACAGTGGTGTTTGAAATGTTGAGAATCAATAGAACAGGTTTTGATACACAGCCAGGATAGTAATGCGGCTATGTGTGCATTTACAGGGGTCCCTGAAAGCTGCATGCCACTTTAAAATCCAGGATGACTAACCCAATTAAAATACTACTGTAGTTCAATATATAGCTATCCACCAGGGGGCCGTTTCTCGAAACCGTCATAACTACAAGATCAACGACATCTCGCCACTGTCATGCAACTTGTCAGCTAAGTGTTTCACGAAGCCGTCTTTGCCAAGATGAGCGACAACTTCCGCGACAAGCGAGTTGTCACTGCTCCGAACCTGTCATATCTTTTTAATTGCTGGCCGACCCTACCCCAATAAGAGGCTAACGAACGAAAGAGACGGAAAATTCGGTCTACATTTTCCCTAATATTAATTTTGTAATAATCTGGTGGTGGTATTGCGACTAAGGCTAAGTCTCGGCTCCTATTCTCGCCGATAGTATCGATCTCACGAGATACTAGCTAGTAAGCTCTTCGTGAAACGGTTTAGGAAGATCAGAGACATCTCCGTAGTTGGCGGATAAAGTTATGACTGTCTTGTCGTTGGTTTCTAGGAACGAGCCCCTGGTCTTTTTTTTTTGGTCCCAATTAAAGCAATAAAGGGACACCGATGACTTCGAATGGGACTGAACATTGAATACTCGGAATAGGCAAGATATACATTTTAAAAAAGCAAAATAACTACAAGATACAAGACCTGTTGTAGCTCACCATGTGCTTTGCATTGAACCTGTTCCATTTTCCGTTGAATTTGGAGATAACTTCACTGATAAACAGTTATTTTTCACTTTTCTAGACCATTCCCGACCTCGAAAATTTGAAAAATCCCCGGCATTGGTCAAGTTTCCGTCTTAAGAGGGCAGCAAACAATGCATTTCCGGGATGCGTTATTTTTTTATGCGGCACAGATTGGGGCATGGTACGTGTTGAGCCTATGGGAAGTACGTTCTTTCCCTTCTGAATAATGTCTGCACGTACGTGAGACTAGTCATGTTAGCTAGCGCATTAGCGCTGCGAAGAAGTTTGTATATCCATCACGAACTATGTGTTTAGATAACATTCCTCTTCGTTTAAGTTAATTAAGTTTTATTGACTAATTATTGTGATGTTCTCCTTGTTGACGTGCTGCCTCCTCTTCAGATTTTCAATTGCATTTTAATTGTTGATGTAATGATTTTCCATACGGTAGTGGATTACATGTAACACTATTAAAAACAGACCTCTACAACTAGTACGCACACGATCACTGTTAGTCTGTAAATCAAGACCCCTTTAAAAAAAAAGCCCCAATCTGTGCCGCATAAAAAAATAACGCTTCCGGCGTCGGATCAAAAACATAACACTGGCGCTGGCTGCAGCTGATTGCTTTATTGTGCAATCGTCATATTCATCGCCATACAGAATTTGAAATGCACTTCTTTGGTGTTTGACAAGAAAGTAAATTGTATCTTGTTTCGGAGATCAAAACATGGATACCACCACGGGCACTGAACATCTGCCTGATTGCTGGGAAGATGATGAACGAATGGGGTACCTGTTTTCTGGATTTCGTGAGAATCGGCAAGTGAATCCTCGAGATTGGGACAACAAGATGAAATTCTGGTCAGAGCTCATCTTGAAATATGGAAAAACACAGAGAACTCTACTGTTTTCATTGGAAGATTTGACACAGAAGTTTAGGAGAAAAGGAGTTGTTCCGCAGTGCATTGGTGCAGTGATGAGAGAAATGAATAGGTATAAAACTAAACGATTTTTAAAAGAAATTTTGATGTTTTTATGATCATAAGTAATTATAGCTCGTCTTTATTAAATTCATTATCGGTAGGGGGGCTGGTCCGAGAACGAGGATCGTCCACATAAACAAGGATATCCTTCATAATCCTTGTTAACTCGGCCAAATCATGTCCTAAGAAATATTAGGTTCATTTTTCTTCTGCGCACTGCAGGTGTAGGGTTCCTGATCTGCGCGCTAGCTGGCAATGTGAAAAACGGATTCCGTGTCTCTCTGAGAATTTATCGTTCATAACGTGAAAGGAGCGTCATCGCGGAATCCGTTTTTCACATCGCCAACTCGTGGATTGGAAATGAGAATTGTCCGCGAAAATGAGGATGATCCTTTTTGTCCAGAACGCGTCTGTCTGCATTTTACGAAGACGAATCTCATTTAAGCGGACGATTCTTATTTTCGGACCAGCGCCCCTACTGATGATAACCAAGCTTGCCAAGCACGCATTACCAGGATAATTTCATATGCTACAAAAACAAGCTTTATTAAAGATTCTCCTCCCCCTTATTCCTCTTTTTCTTCATTATACAGCCTTACAGGCCATTGTCGGTTGTATTTTCATACTGATGTAGGTGTTGTGCAGGTGTAGACCCTATAGAGAGTGTATCAATAAAAATGCCGCCGATATTCAGCTGAAAGTTTTTCCTTTGATTTTTCAAACTGGGCTATGTGATGATATGAAATCTGATATTGATATCACCTAGCCTTAAATGGCACCTATCAGCGTGAAGAGCTAGAGGCAGGTAAAGAAAACCTAAAATACGTTTGAAATCACTCCTTCCCACATCCAACGAACCCACTGGTTTTGTAGTTCACCTAGCGGACTCTTCTTTCTTCTCATACGAAGCACTTTGTCCTCACTCTCACCTTTTTCTTTCTTGGTTTTTTCTTCTTATATTTTTGCCTTTTCGATTGGGGGGGGGAGCACCCTTATGATTTTTTTATATTTTAATTAAAGACATTGGTTGATTCACTATTCTAAAGATGACAACGAGATTTTGTACTCCTCTGTTTTATAGAAATGGTCAAATGGTAAGAGCAGATGATCTTGAAGCAAGTACAACATGGTTGTCATGGGGAGTCAACACGTTTGTTAGAAAACCTGTGAGATGGACGATGGCCTCTCTCTTCCAACAGACGAATGAGCCCCCTGTAGGAAACTTTGTAGCTGTGGAATTATTGAAGGTATACTGACTTTACGTATTGATCTCTTTGTTGGTTGGCAAAGAAAAGTCACTTGTATTTCTGTTGTCTAATTTTTTTATTTTTAACAATTATTTTTGCTGCCCTTCTTATAAAGAACTGCAGCCTAGGGGCAACAGAGAAGAATTTTTGTGTTGTGAACCCCCACCCACAAACCTTTTCTTCTTATCTTGCTCAGGATCTGATTAATAATTTTTATGGTCAAATAAATAATGATAACACCCAATTGATTGTTGCTTCATTATGCCTGCATATGTTTGGCTATTTTTTACTATTTGTTTCTTTTAAGGATTTTAATGAAACTTAGAACAATATGAGAAACATACTTGATTGAAGATGCAAGTTCAACACAATTATCAAATCATGGAGTACCACTACCATTCTTCATTTATTTCATTAAGACAACAAAGTTGTCGAATTGATGTATTATACTTCTCTTTACCGCTATGGTAGGAGTGGTAAAGAGAAGTTGATTGAGATGGATGGATCATGGATTTTGTAATACAATTTTACTTGTTTATTGTACAGGGAACCCTACTTACAAGCTTAAGCTTCTCTCGGGTTCCCTAACCATTTTTACTTTGTTTTTCCAACATGTTTTGTAAATGTCCTTCGAACATTGTTTGTAATTCTGAATGTTGTTTTAAAAAAATGGTTGAACCCATAAATGAAATGAAATGAAATGTGTTAAGAAGGGAAGATGATGAACCTGTGAAAAGAGCATGGGCTCTGAAAGTGGCTGGCATAAGAGGGCAAAACCACAGATTTCATGAAAAGATATGGTGAAGAAAGAAATAAGTAAGGTTGGTCTAACTGATGAGGGTGCTTGATACAAGAAGAAGAAGTGGAGGGAGGGAGTGCCATGGTGTGAAAGTCATTAACACTTCTGAGAAGGGAAAAGCTGATTTTAGTATATGATGATGATTACTGGAACTTGGATAGGCAGTGGCCAAGAGACATCATGAGGATGTACATTGTACACTATGCCAGCACTGATCATGTAGTACATTGCTTCTAAACCAGTGGGCCGCGAGGTCTGCCAAGGTCTGGTCTTACATGACACAGCTGTTGATCATTGATTAATATTGGGCCAGAGGACTTCAGCTCCCCCCCCCCCCCCCTCTTATGAAGCCTATGGTTGCAGTGCTCTCCTTGCAAACTTGCCTACCCATGATGGTTCAAATAAAATGTTCATGAATTATGTGTTTGAGGGTTAAAAATGCCCAAATCTATCATCCTTTCACTTTCTGGTTCAGTTCAATAGATACATGTAAGGTGTGGCAGACAGAGAGGTCCAATAATACCTTTGTACGCCACTGCATATTTACCACACAATTGTTTTCCGTTTTCTTGTGTCATGTTTTTTTCTTATTTTTTCTCAAGTTTTGCAAGGTGGGTCTCAAACAACCTCTATCAGCCAAAGTGGGCCTTGAGTTTAAAAACATTGAGAAGTGCTGGGGGTGTTTCACAAAGATCCTAAGTTGAACTTATCTCTAAGTTGGACTTAACAATTATGGAAAGCCGTTAGCATCTATGAAAATATTTATTTACAATTTATTGTTAAAGGCATAAAATGTTGATTCAAATCATTCATATTTTCTATTATGAAGGAGATTTCATTTTCTTGATGTAGAATTAATAAAAAGTCTAAAATACTTCAATTTTTTGCTTTTGAATATATATTTATTTTTATGGCTACACATGGCTTTCCAATCCATAATGTTTAAGTCCAACTTAAGTTGAGTTCGAATTAGGATCTTTGTGAAACACCCCCTGATGTAGTAAACTGTTCCATGTTCAAGAAGCAGTGTGCAGATTTAGACCTGTGTCAGCCGTTTTCAACAATATAGACGTTTTCATATTTAAATGTTTTACAGGAGTTTGGGGAAGCTTTTCTCAAGAGACATCATGAGAATGTCCATTGCACCAGCACCGATCATGTAGTGGACTACTCCACGTTCAAGCAAGAGTGCGTTGACCTGTGTCAGGATGACGCTTCCTTTGATCTTGTCCTTCTTCATCTTCAGAGGACGAAACAGGTTCTGGTGACAACAGATGACAATACAAAGGTAGGTGAACAGTTGTGCAATTACATATATATGTTATAGCACACGAGAGCTCCCCCCCCCCTACCCCCTCCCTCCCCAACAAGGGAAAAAAATATTAAAAACATTTCAGGGGCTACTTTTCAAGTTTGCTTGCATGAAATAATACTCTTTAATTTGTTTTGCTTTGAACTCTATGCAAAATTTGTTGGGCTCTTTTATGACTTTCGGGGCTCTTTGGGGATTTCTGGGGCAAATTTGCCCAGAGCCCCTCTATATTTTTCCCCCTGCCCCCCACCTACCCCAGGATAAAAAGCATAGACCCCTGCTTATGTGAACCATGTCACTGATTATTAAAGGTGTTGTGGTCTAGTGGATATGTCTTCGGACTGTGGATCATATGGTTCATGGTTCAAGCCCCGGGGCAGCACTATTGTCATTTGGCAAGACATTAATCTACCCTTGCCTCTCTCCACCCAAATGTGAAATGGGTACTGGTTAGAAGGAATTCCTTGGATGCTGTGAGCACCGAAATCGGTAACCTAGCAGAGCCGGGGTAATAATAATAATAATATCTCTTGTTAACCCGCTGGCAGGTAGCCTTATCAGTATTCATACTGTTCTGAGCCGGGGGTTCCTGCTATCATACTATTACTCCAGCTTTAGCCGAGCTACCATGAGAAGGTGCTCAAGCATTCAAGAAATTTCTTCCTACCAGTTACTGATTTACCTCACCTGTGTGAAGTGTGGCAAAGTAGATTAATTTTTTGCCAAAAGACATTACATTGGAGCACATTGAGCACCTTTAGTGGTGGATATGTGCGCTAGAGAATATTAAATTATTATACTCATTACTACATGTATATCAGCTCAGCTTTTATTGATATTTAACACTCTATTATGGGCTTTAATTTTTACTACATTCAGGGTAGAACCAGATGTAACACCTTTTTATGGTAGAATTATATCACTCCCAAATTCAAGGTTTTGTCCCACAAAAATCAATACCATGTGTCAATGCCTGAACAATAAAGATTTACATTGGACACATGAGATACAGGGCTGATTTTCAAGTAAGAATTATCAAAACTGGATATAAATAGCCCACACCACTGAATATATTTGTAGCAAGCCTCGCTCAAACTACTTTTGGAAATCATACATGGTTGCCCAAGTTTCTATGTGTGTTTATGACCATCTCTTGCTTTCTTGTGCCTTGTTACTCTGTCTTATTTAGCACTGAATGTTTACATCATTGTTTTAAAGCTGTCCCAACCCCCATAAGCTGCCTGTTACAAGCATTTATCTATTACATAATGATTTTTATCCCATTTATTTCAGGTAATAAAATTTGCATCTAAAAGCCAGAAAGCTGTGTCTCCAGTGACATCTGTGGAGCTTGGAACTCTAAGGTGAATATACGTTTAATGAAGGGACATTTTTGTGTGATCTTTTCCATCTTTTACTATACAAACCTGCATTTGTCATGTTCTTCTCATTCACTAAAATCGTGTGAATATTAGCAAAGTAGTTTGCCTGACTGTGATGAAAGGTTGGGTACCTTTGTATGGGTACTCATGGTTCATCTATATTTGGATGGCTGCAGAATAGAGGTTGTAATGACATATACTAGTAGTAGACAAAATTCAGGAAAGGTTTTTTGTTTTCTAAAAATATTAATCACAATGTTATACTTCTTAAAGTGGAAACAGTGTAACAGAATCAATGTCTTTAATTAAATCCATCAAATACATTGATACCAGTTTATTATATCATTTCATTGAAACATGTGATATCAATTAGCTTTATTTATTTATATCATTTTGTACCCAGCTCTGCTCTTTTAACACCTACGTTTTTTACAGATATTTATTTCAATAAAACTCCTACTCCCTGTTTATGCCTACAAAAGAAGAAAATTTGAATATTCTATGAATTAAAATCATGAAATGATAACATTCCATTTGCTTTAAATTGTGACAAAAAATATAATGCAAATGAATCTTGTATTCTTGTTTGCAGATTAAAGAAGACAATCCTTTCAATGCAGTTGACAATAGAGAGACTCTCAAGAGTAGTGGAACAAGAAGATAAAGAGACCAGACAACAACTCAGAAAAGGAAAGAAAACATCAGTGAGTACTTATGCAAGCATCGCCATTTTGTGTTGTTGTTTGGGACCAAGCAGTTATATGATGCACGAGGTAGATGCTAACCAGGCAGAAAATGTCTCATAATGTACCTTTCATTTCACAGAAATGGTGTTAAAGTAGTCAACCGAAAGTGTTTTGAATTGATGCAAAATTATATCATGGCTATGGAGAAGCCTTACTGATCAAATATAACCAAACTCCCTCTTTAAAATCTGTTTGGGTTCGCAGTAATCATTTCTCAAAAATCATAATTTTGAGATCCAGATTTTCTGCCTTCAGTCCTCTGTAGAGCGTCAAGATTCCTAACGTCACATGCGAGACACGGCTAGTCACAAAGCATTTCATGCCTTTCCATGATATCTATATGATTTTTCATCAGATTATTTGTATTTTTCATCCATATATACTTTGTCCATAATTATCTGTTTTCTGAAATTTTCTTTGTTTGACTACCTTAAAGACTTTGAATAACTCTTTTGACCTAAGGCTGGTTAAGATTCAGATTTATAAAGTTTGTTCATTTTGGAGTTTAGTAATGATGGTTTTAACATGCAATAGATAAGAATAGGCACACGTTCTTCATTTATTGTTCAAAAGCTACATTTAAAACAAGGAAATTCAAGAATATCAATTTCAATATTATTTAGCAGTTTTGAATACTGTTGACTTGTTTTCACATAGAAAAATATATTGGCTTGTATTTTGCTGTTTTACACCTTGTATTCAAGATAGGAAAAACCTAAGCCCTCTCTCCTAAAGATGGAAATATGAAGCCATATTAGGCCTAAAATAAAAACTTGTTGTATTGCCCTTTAGGTGCCAAAACATGGGTCGGTCGGTCAGAAAAGTTTTTTTTTTTTTAAACTTTTTTTTTTTGTCGCCCTCTTTGCGCCGATATTTTTCAGATTTGAATTTTTTTTTTTAAAACTTTTTTCCCCGCCCTCTTTTGGCTGATTTTTCTCAGTTTTTAATGCTTTAATACATGTGTTTCAATCTTTTCCACCTCATAATTAGTGAGAATTTAGGAAAAATTTGATTTTATGCATTTATATCCCATTTAAACAAACAAAATACATATTTGTATTAATTAAAAAAAATCTAAAAGACGGTTAAAAAAAAAAATAAAAAAAAATAAATGCCGACCGTAGATTTTCAGATTTTTGGGTCGGTCGCAAAGGGCAATACAACAAGTTTCTATTTTAGGCCTTACTATGCTGTTATTTCTTTTGTAACATTCCAGGCCAAGAATGCACTGAGAAGGAAGAAGCTTGCTCAGAAGAGATTAGCAAGTGACGAATCCACCCTAGATGCCTTACAGCAGCTTCAAGAGAGACTCGAGTCTGCTGAGTCTGACAAAATGGTATGCATAGACTCTACAACAGTTCATCAATGTATCTTAAAGAGAAGGTTGAGTTCTGGGAAGAGGTGAAAACTAATTTGTGGGCGTTATCAATATCATTCTTATTATGCAAGTGGGGAAGAACATCAGATAAGACATGTTCCCGGAAAAGCGTGGCTCTTCAAATGCCTTCATATTCTAAATATGTCATGTGACTTCGTAAAAATCCAGGGTAGGATTTTTACGCAACGTGTTCGTGTAGTCCCATATACATCTTTCTGTGTACAGTGTTTGTAACTTAACCAAGACTTGGCCAAATTTCTTATCATTTTGATGATTCCAGAACCTTGCAATACACACAAATTTTTATATGCTAGATGATCAACCTTTTCTGGTCGATTCCACACAGAGAGTGAGAAGTAGAGAAAGAGAGATAAGATACAGTCAAACCTGTCTATAGTGACCGCCCTAGGGAAACACAAAAGGTGGTCTTTGTAAACAGGTTCCTTTAGTACATGTTTCAATGAGAAACCATTTTCAAGGGAAACAAAAAATGTGGTCTTTGTAGACAGGTGGTCACTAAAGCAGGTTTGACTGTACATGCTTAATAGGACTGTTTCTAAGAGGTGTCGTGGTCTGGTGGATGTGTCACCGGACTGTGGATCACATGGTCTGCGGTTTGATTCTCAACTGGGCACTTATGTCCTTTGGCAAGACTTTTAATCTGCATTTGCCACTCTCCAGGCAGGAGTTAAATGGGTACCGGGTATTAAAGATGCAAGCTTTAATGTGGTTGGATTGGCATGTGTGCGCTTGTAAAACGGCACCTGGCCGGAATCCCTGCAATCAACGTTTAGCTGTGCTATTTCTTGTGATGATTTACTTTTCCCTTGTGGCTCAATGCTTAAGTGGGTCGATCTCCCACAGTAAATAATAATAATAATAATAATAATAATAATAGTGGGTTCTTGTATAGCGCTCATGTCTGTCAGATTTGACATTCCTGGCGCTCCCGATTATTACCCTGGCTTTAGCACGACTGCCATTACGGCGCTCTTGCATTTCAAGGAATTAATTCCTGCCAGGTACCCATTTACATCACCTGGGTTGAGTGTGGCAAATGTAGATCACTGTCTTGCCAAAGGACATTTGTGCCGCGGTGGGACTTTAACCGCGGACCTTGTGATCCACAGTCCGGTGACAGATCCACTCGTCCTCGACATCTCTATTCAGGCTTACCATCTCTTTCTGTTTTCCAGAAGTCCCTGAAAATCTTTCTTTTCAACCATCAAATTAATCATCGTACCTATAAGTCCTTGTCCTTGTAGTATTCATAATTATTGTCTTGAGTTACTTATCGACATTTATATGATATCTTTGTAAAGCGCTGTGATACAATTACTGTGAGAGCATTATATAAGTGCCAATATTGTATTGTATTGTATTTACTGCAGGTATTGGAAGCATACAGGTCTGGGTCAAAGGCATTAAAGAAAACATTTGATGACAACGGCCTCTCACCTGAAACGGTGGATGATGCAGTGTCGGATGTTCAAGAGGTAATTTTGCAATCATTATTTTAATTTTTCAATTATATATTTTGAATTAGGTAGAATTAGGACTTTGCTTTAACGCATAATATCTTAAATTCAAACGTGAGTATATAGTCGTTCGTGAAGTAGGCAACTTGGCGATCACTACATAGCACTGAGCCAACAGGTATTACGCTCTTGTGCGTACGTCTGTGTGCTGCCCTCTATGTACCCATGCATGAGCAACTTTAAATCTTCAGAAATGTATTGGGGAAGTCCTACCTGATATTTTTTTTGCAAAAAAAATGAGAGGAACAGGTCAGTGGAAGTGATTTTCATAAACTCTTGTTTCGTCCATTACTGACAACGGAATAGGTTTCAATCATAAAGGGGTTGAATAGAAACACATTTGCAATAATTATACTTTTGCCGAATGTAACGATTCTCCCTTCTTATTCCAACAAATGTCAAAGGTCATGGAAATGTGCAATGAGATTGACGACACCATGGTGAGAGGGAACAAGTCCATCGATGATACGGTGAGCTTCGGTGCAGACATAGACCTGGATCTTCTGGAATCGGAGCTGGAATCGCTCATCAGTGGTGATCTAGATGTGTCAGTGACCACTACTTCATCCAAATCAACAGAACAAAGTAAAAGCACTGCCAAAGGTATGCACTTTAATCTCTGTTCATTTCAATTTTACTTGACTGGTATACATTGGCAGATCCAAGATTTTTGTGGTAGGGGTGCAAGTCCAAAAATTCTGTGACAAGCCCCCCCCCCCCCCCCCCCCAAAAAAAAGGGTTCATCAACATCAGCTTTGTGGTGTGCTGTTTTGGTTTTGGTTAGAGAATTATCTAACAGGCACCAATTAAGGAGGAGGGGGGGGGGGTTGTTATCAGCCCTCTTCTTCCTCCTTTTGTTTGTTTGTTTGCTGGGGGGGATGTTGATTTATAAATTTAATTCCTTTCTGATGAACTTTTTATCTGGATATGAAAACTTTACAAAAGGGCATAGGATGTAGTTTTGGACCCAGGCCTACCAGTTCATAAACCATAGCTTGAACTATTTAGCCATCATTTGTCTCATTAAAGGTTGATTCTAGTTTTATTATCATTTTTTTTTTAAAGGGACATGTGTGGATAGGGATATTAATTAATTTTGTTACACTTAACTGAGGTTCAGAAGAATGGAAAGAGATGCAGGTTAAGAAAATGATAATTAAAGAAAAGAGTAAACAGTTCAAAGCACATTCTTTATTTTATTCTAGTCAAGATTTATGAACAGGTACACATTGAAGCCAGTGGAAAAATCTTTCAAAATAATGAATCTTGATTTATTATAGAAAAGATTTATAAACAGATCCAGAGGACAAGACATACAAAATTATTGATAACTCTCTTAATCATCAAGTATTCTTTTCTTCATCCAACTAGATACAAGTGGAAGTATGCTGGATCTACCAGAAGTGCCTTCAGCGTCACCCGCTGAGCTGGATACATCCTTCAAAGAAGACAGTATGCGAAAGAGCATGCTGGCATCGTGACCATTTTGTTTTTAAAGGGACATTTGTGGATAGAGATATTAATTAATTTTGTTACACTTAACTGAAGTTCAGAAGAATGGAAAGAGATGCAGGTTAAGAAAATGATAATTAAAGAAAAGAGTAAACAGTTCAAAGCACATTCTTTATTTTATTCTAGTCAAGATTTATGAACAGGTACACATTGAAGCCAGTGGAAAAATCTTTCAAAATAATGAATCTTGATTTATTACAGAAAAGATTTATAGACAGATCCAGAGGACAAGACAAGACTTACTAAATTAATAATAACTCGCTTGATCATCAATTATTCTTTTCTTCATCCATCTAGATACAAGTGGAAGTATGCTGGATCTACCAGAAGTGCCTTCAGGGTCTCCCGCTGAGCTGGATACATCCTTCAAAGAAGACAGTATGCGAAAGAGCATGCTGGCATCATGACTATTTTTTTTTTAAAGGGACATGTGTGGATAGGGATATTAATTAATTTTGTTACACTTAACTGAAGTTCAGAAGAATGGAAAGAGATGCAGGTTAAGAAAATGATAATTAGAGAAAAGAGTAAACAGTTCAAAGCACATTCTTTATTTTATTCTAGTCAAGATTTATGAACAGGTACACATTGAAGCCAGTGGAAAAATCTTTCAAAATAATGAATCTTGATTTATTATAGAAAAGATTTATTTATTTATTTCGTTTTATTTAAACAGGGTGGCCCCGTCAGTAATCGCAGTACTGTTTTCCAGGGGGCCCTGACAGATCCAGAGGACAAGACATACAAAATTATTGATAACTCTCTTAATCATCAATTATTCTTTTCTTCATCCAACTAGATACAAGTGGAAGTATGCTGGATCTACCAGAAGTGCCTTCAGGGTCTCCCGCTGAGCTGGATACATCCTTCAAAGAAGACAGTATACGAAAGAGCATGCTGGCATCGTGACCAGTCTTCTTCAGAGGAATCATTCACCAACAAATACTCTGCTCTGAACATTTAGGGTTTCGTGCAAGCATTGCATATTGAAAATAACTGTCTGTAAATTAATATTATGTGAAGTTTTTCTAGGGTCTTGGTCTTGGGACTGTAAGCTTCAGGTACAACATTGATAAATGGGTTGTTTTGACGTGAAATTTCACAAAACTTGCCGAAAATCTTCAACACAGTACAACAACAGTACAAATTTCCTTCGCTTGCTTTAGATTTATTTTTTTGTCATTTATCAAACTGACGACTAGTTTTGATTTTGAATGATAATTTGTTTGTGAAGTATATTATATCAGATTCTTTGCCTCTTGTGAAATATGTTATACAATTCATCATTAGCAACCCCTACAATATGAAATATCAGATTCATATTCTACATTTATGGAGAAAACCTAGAACTTTAAATACTGAATTAACACTCTAAATACAGATGAATAATGGATGCCCATGTACATTCCCAAAGTTTTGTGCAGGCCTGTTATGTTTGTTTTTTTTTTTTCTTCTCCAAATCATGTTCTTTAATCCTGAATAACTATTTGAATGTCTTGCATAGTTTTTGGTCTCCTTAAATTCCTTCTCACTTGATCTGCATTGAGGATCATGATGGACATTGTTAATGTTTGAGAGTGTTAAATCCAGGATTACTGCTAAACCCTGTGGTTTTATGGTGACATGCAGATAGAGGTGATCAATCATGTCTAAGCCAGTTGCATACATTTGTAGTCAGGTGCATAGGCAGGGGGAGGGGGGTTTGGGGGTTGAACCCCCCCCCCCTCAAATCTTGTTTATGTATGTGTTTTGGAGGAAACACCCCCCCCCTCAAAATGCTAAAGGGTGACCAAAAAAAGGTGACCTTACCCCCCCCCCCACCCCCGCTTATTCAGCAATGGCCGAGTGTTTGGCGCGATTTTCAAATTTAAACCCCCCCCCCCCCCCCCATCGAAAAATCTTGCGTACGCCCCTGTTTGTAGTGTTATTAAACCTATTTAGTGTTGACTGGGATATGTATTAACTCTTAGTCTCTGCACATGTAAGCTGGTTAGGTGATTATTAGAATAAGGTTTGTGTACAAGGCAAAAAAAGCAAAAAGCAAAATGCTTGTAACATGGTATCCGAAAGAAGAAAAAGTGAAGAACATTTAAAGATTTAAAATAAGTAAGCAAACAAGTTATTAGTCAGGTCTATTATATTGCTGAATCTTGATTTAGGGAATTTTTGTCAAGCTCTACACTGCAAAAGACTTCATGACTTCTGTTTCACCTTTAAAGTATAAAAAGTAGAGGGGAGGGGGCTATGAAGGAGGAAACAGTGCTTTGGGTCTTGGAGTAAGTGGGTAAAACTCGGCTCCATTTCACAAAACTTGTCATCAGTGACAAATTACAGGTTTTGTTATTAAAAGCTAGTGAAATCCTTGCTTCTAATTGGTTATCCGCAGATTTGTCACTGATTTTTGTCATTTGTCTTTGAAAAAAGACTTTGTGAAATGGGTCGCTGATGATACATATGTACATGGGTTCTGTTAGTTGCAGTCTTTTCTTAGCTTTTGTTCTTGACTACTTTCATTATTTGGGTGGTTCCACCATGTCTGGTGAATCCATAGAAAATAGAACATCCTATCATTGTAGCATACTCTATACATTGATGCATGAAGGGATCTTACCACTCGAGTAAGCCTCCACAAACTTATTTAACTTCATGACCTTTATGTTTTTATGCCTATGCCCAATAAAGTTGGTTGTTTGTCCGTGTGTCTGTCTGTCTGTCCCGCTTTTTTGTTAGTGTGCATCCTTATAATGAGAAAAAATGATTAGATTTTGGGTAAAAGAAGGTCAAATGCCAAAGGTTAGCAAATCAATTTCGATGAATTAAAGGTGTTTTCAACTTTGTTTTTACCAAATCAATGACAATTTGAAGCTATTTCAGCTCTGATTTCAAAGCTTGAAACTTGTAGTGTGCATCACTGTAGGGAGCAGATTTTTGGATTGTAATGTCGAAGTTTAAATGTTGTAAAGATGAATCGACATGCAAATATGGGCTTTTTATTCTCATCGTGACATTCCAAGAATAATTAAAGCCAGGATTTTGACTGAAAGTAGACGGAGGCATATCGGAGATGCAATCACATTTGTCTCGTTTGTATGTAATTTAATAAAAGCTGCATTTCATGTATCTGTATACTCTTTTGTATGTAAAGTTCCTGCCCAACTGTGCCTTTATATGTAATTTACAGTTATAGTATTGATAGTATTGAACTATTAAAAAAGCTTGCCTGAGTATTACGTTTTAATATTTCAGTTCAAATATTACCAAGCTGTGCAGTAAGAAATAGTTCTACAGTGCATGGGAATATTTGTATGTATGTTACCATTAATTATTGAATAGACTGTTGTAGTCAATGCTTGAAAATCTGTGAAAACTTGAAAGCAGAACTTGTGTTTTGGAGCACCTGTACTTACTTATATTGCTCAAAGTATCAATTATATTACATAGTGATAATAATGACAGATGAATTTATGAAGTGCATAATAAACTGAGGAGTCTCTTAAATCTATAAGTCCTGTTTATTTATTTTTTCTGTAACTTTGTTTTACTTATTTTAAATTGGGTGTACACAGTGTGTGAGTTACCAGGTACACTAAACTTGGGAAAGCATTCTGTTACAAATGAAGCACATGAAGAGCAAAATTACCATCTTAAGAATGTATTTTTCTAGCTGTAGTTAGGTTAGCATAATTTAAACATTGTTTGTCTTTAAAAACTGGTTCACCGTTTGATGTGCAATACTTTTCAACAAAGATACATTGAAAAATGTGATTGCAAAATACTTCAGGTTTCACTCAACTGTGTTTGAGAGTTCTAAAGCACCCCTGCAATTTACAGTGCCAGTTTAAATCACCAATATGCAGGAAAATGTTCAACTTTTTGCGCTTCATGACAGCAGCAAGGGTCAAAATCTCTCTAACATTTTCACGTTTTTCGCAAGTTCTTTCCACTTTTGGAAACATATATATCTGTTTATGTTTTATTCCATACCTGAGAACTAAGGTTAGATGATGTGATTTTGAAAGGAGACTGCTGAATGCTGCATTTTGTTTGAACTTCGAGCCCCGGCTTTGAGCACTCTGATTACAAATTCCAGCGTTACTCTTCGGAACGGTCTTTTGCCGCTGACCCAAGCCAGCAGTTCCCGCTAGTGGAGTGATTGTGAACGACATATGGTCTCACGGATAGAACTTGAATTGTTTAGCTATTGTGGCCCCAAACATTGCTTGGTGAGTAAATGTCAACAAACTGTGATCAAAAACGAGTTTTGAAGTGAATGGATACAGCTCAGACATATATGATTATTTGACTATAGGATTGAGTGGATAATCTCACCCTAATCCGGACATTTGAGATGATAGTAACTGAAGATTCATGCTTGTGATATAGTATATGAATGAATGACCAACTGAGAATATAGTTTTTCAAAGCAAGGAGTGTGATATTGGACGTGAAAATGATCTTCATCAGAGTAACAATAGTGGCAAACACATTGTTGGCAATTTACATTGCTTACTGTTTGATGAAAATTTGTGTTGAAGAATTGTCATTTGTGCCCAACATGGATGGAAAACTACGTGAATGCACAGGGGCGTGTTCACTTTCACGCTCTGTGGTGTATACTAGAGATCAACGCCGAGCTTTGAATAACAGAACGTTTACTCTCAATGGAGACACACAACAATTGATCAAACAGCTTGGATTAGCACGAACAAAAACGAGGCGGGGAAAACGAGGAGGGCGAAATCTTCGACGGAGTATTAGCATTGTGACTGGGAATCGGACGGACAATGATGACAAGCAGCATGAATGTCGGCCGAGGACACTGGTCTCCATCGATGTAGAACCAGCGAAGAAAGCAGCCCATCACGCTCTGCCAAGTTTTCTCATGACGAACGCTAGATCGATTGTGTACAAAACGGATGAACTTGGTGTTATACTGAACAATAGACACATTGACATAGCAGCTATAACTGAGACATGGCAAACGCCTGATATATCAGATGAACAGTTGTCGATAAATAATTACTTGACATTCACGGATTATCGCCATACACTGCGTGGTGGGGGAGTAGCATTGTATGTTCAGAAAGATATACCGATATTTCCCCTTACCATGATATATGTTCCTTCTGAATATGAATTTGAATGTGTCTGGTTGAGGATACGACCGCATAGATTACCTAGATGTATATCAAGTATCATTGTATGTGTAGTGTATATCCCACCAGGATCCCCTCATCACACAGCCCTGATTGATCACATAACCAATTCAATTGATGTTTTAGGCACTATGTATGTAGACTGTGGATTTGTTATTTTGGGAGATTTTAACCGGGTAGATGTAGACCCTTTGTTGAGAGTACATGGACTCAAACAAATGGTTGATAAGCCAACTAGAGGTGAGGCGATTCTTGATTTGATATTGACCAATATGAAAAAACACTACATGTCAGCCGCCATTGAGTCTCCTCTGGGAATGAGTGACCATAACACGGTGATATGGACTGCAAAGAATAGAACAAAGGCTCCCAACAAGGTACTCAAGAAAACATCACGTCCAATGACATATCAAGGGATCCACGAGTTTGGAAGGTGGGTTACATCCCAATCTTGGCAGGAAGTCCTTTCCGTACCAGAAACGGAATCAAAAGCAAACGCTTTTTATACATTGATCCAAGGAGCAGTAAATAAATACTTTCCTCGTAGATCAGTCAAACTGCACAGTGCTGACAAGCCTTGGATGACCGCACGAGTGAAAGAAACCATCAAGATGCGTCAGGAAGCGTTTTCCCAAGGTACCTTAACCGAATGGAAGCGCTACAAGAAATTGGCCAGCAACCAAATCAAACAGGCTCAGGAGAACTTCTATGACAACTCCTTAGCAGGGCTAAGATCTTCAGACCCCTCGAAGTGGCATAGTGGCATTCAGCTCCTCGCCAATAAGATCAAAGAACGCTCTCCTATATCTGTGCCAACGCTCCCTGAAGCCAGTGATGAGGAAATAGCTAATGCCATTAACCAGGAATTTTCATCTACATCACAGGGTCGACTGCCTCTAAGTACTTCCGACCTTCCGACATATCTTCCTTCTCTAGAGCCTCCACAGGTCAAAGTGTGGGAGATGTATTGGGAGCTGAACAGGATCAACATTAAGAAAGCCATCGGCCCTGATGACTTGCCAAACAGAGTTCTCAAGGAATTTGCTTGCGAGATCAGCATACCCATGACAGACATTTTCAACTCCTCTCTCAGGGAAGGCAAGGTCCCTCAGATCTGGAAAGACGCAGATGTTGTTCCCGTGCCAAAAGAGAAACCTCCTGTCATCACAAAACTCAGGCCTGTGTCACTAACATCCCAATGTGCGAAAGTTTGTGAGGGATTCGTGGCTAAATGGATCCAACATGACATGGGGCCAAATATTGAACGACATCAGTATGGAAGCCTCAAAGGCTCATCAACCACACACTGTTTGATTGAAATGATGAATCAATTCTACAAGGAATCAGACAAACAGGATTTTGTAGGAAATCTTGTGGTCACAGATTTCTCGAAGGCGTTCGACACGGTAGACCACACCGTGGTTGTAACTAAGCTCTTAAATATGGGAGTCCGTCCGGAAATCATCCCGTGGATCGCCGACTTTTTAACGAATAGGCACCAGAGAGTAAAATACCAAAGCGCTATCTCCTCCTGGAAGAAACTAACCTGTGGCGTTCCCCAAGGAACAAAGATCGGCCCCC